CTATCAAAATATGGTCTATTTGATTGTGTATCTTCCCATCAGGAGATGTCCAAGTAAATTTATGGATGTTACGATGTGGGAAGACAGTAAGATTTTTAGTTGTGTCAATGTTTACTACTCTAACTCCATTATCATTGCTAATTTCATGCAAACTCTCATTCCCAATCGCTGGTTTGAAAATGTCTTCCCTCCCTACTTTGGCATTGAAATCTCCTAACAAAATTTTCATAGGCTACTTCGGAAATTTTATCAAATACATGTTCTAGTTCTTCATAGAACCTGTCCTTTATGTCATCAGTTTTAGCTTCTGTTGGGGCGTGAACATTCATAACAATATATCACACCAGCGACGTCTTAGTATCATATGTGATATCACTAACGAACTTTACCCGCTCCACTGCTGATACGATTCTCTTACATACGAAAAATCCTGTACCTAATTCATGTGTTTCATTCCCCTTTCCATAGAAAAATGTATATTCTCCTGCTGGTGCGATGCCACCTCCGTCCCCTCTGACCTCCTGAACTGCCGCTAAAGCTAACTTATATTTTAAGATTTCTTAATACCAACACTACAACCGCTCAACTGTCAAGGTAGTAACCTTAATATTAGCTGAATCCCCTAACCAATCTTCATGAAACTTGGTATGTCGTGCCATGTGAGTCCATCTCAATGGCGTACCTCATAAATCAGTCTCATTACTATAGCAACGCTGCAGCTTCCTAAATTGTACTGTCTTATTATTTATTCTTTCGACTTATCTTATCAAATGATAAAATTACAGTGAAAGGAAAGTAGTCGCTTAGCTCTTTCCAGAACTTCTTGTTTAATATTAGTTTGAATATCTGCCTATTATATACTCCTAGATTTTCAAAGGGGTATAGTCCCTCAGTTTTTCTCATTTAATTTTATACGAATTTCTGATGTCCTCCATGGTTGCTACATGCCCGACCACTCATCTCCTTGAGTCTATCATTGTAGTGTTTGTTGAAGAATACGTGAAATATATCGTTGAACTGCAATTGTTGGTGGAAATTGAGAATTTGTATTTTGTATAAAGTCATGTACCGAAGTTATTGCAGTAATCACTTTGAGTAACTCGGAAAATGAAATTTTGCGGATAAAATCTGTGGTGATACTGATATCAAGGTCCATTTTCTTTGTACAGGATGTTTTCTATAGATGCCACTGTAACATTTGTTGAAACTTCAACTGGAAGCCTCATTGTTTATGTAATCTTCCGTAGTATACGTTTCCCCTGCTTTCTCCCGTATTCCTTTTCAGTCCTACAGTGCATCTAAGCCTACATTTAACGCAAATTCCCACCAATAAGACTCACAAATAGTCAGTAGTAAACCGCGTGCTTGAAACAGAATACTACGCTTGAAATGTCAATCAAACTATTATCAGTTCTTACGGAGTAGACACGAAACGCTGAGGTAAAGAACTGCTCAGTCGTTCGTAACCTACATAATTTATCTTCATGCGACGTGTTAACGCCCGATAATTCGATACTGTGGTAACCTGACGTTGTGTAATGACAAAGATAAATCACACTTAACAAAGCTTTATGTTGTCACGTATATGGAGTGACTGTACACGGACTTTGGATTGGTAATTGGATTTATTGAACCCTTACAGATCCGCGACTACAAGTAATTATAACCGTCTCACTGATTCGCACACTTTACAGTTCACTAGAGCGCACGCTGAAGTCTTCTCAACCTGCTGTGTCTTCCGGTAACGGCTTCCAATGGCGGACGTTCCCTTTCCTCTGGGTTCCCGAACTGTCCCTTTGTCTCAGTTACAGCAACACTTGACTTGTCCTACTACGTTTCGGCACGGACTGCACAGAAATATCGTTCCTCTGTTGCATTCGTGTATGTTGGGGTTCACATTATTGTTTGTCTATCCAATTGTTAATCTGGAAGCATGTTTGTTGCAGAGCCGTTACTTAGCAACGGCTGTTGTATATTGCCTTATTCCACTGCCGTTTTCTAGCAATGGAACTACATGCCACAATATATATATATATATTAAAATTATAGTGCCATGAGAGCACATTTTAATAGAAATGTACGTCTGAAGTATGTGGCATTGTACTTGTGTACCAGACTTTTCGGTATAATATACTGTTAAGCGGCCTCCGTAGTCTAGGGGTAACGTTCCCACCTCATGACTCCAAGGTACGCGGGTTCAAACCCGGCGGAGGTCGTGGAATTTTTAAGGGCGGAAAAATTCAGGGAACAAGTCCTCCGGAAGGGACTTTAAGCCGTGGGTCCCGTGTCGTAGATTTACGGCACGTAAAAGAACCTCATGTCTCTAGGAGACCTCTGAGCTAAATTTAGGCAATTTCCCGCCCAAGTAGTTTCCAATGCCTCCGGTAGATGGGGGAGCTTAGGTACCACTGCCAGAGGAGGGACGACCTCACTGGCAGAAAGGGACTAACTATCAGATACCACTACCAGTAGAAGGCCGAAACCTCGCTGGCAGAATGGGGCTGATAGTAAGCACCAGTCCCGGTAGGGTATGGAGACAGTAGAAATTCGAAGGGGGACGCACAATAGATCAAACTGGTCGCGGTGCATTGGGTAACCCACCCCCTCAGTACTCAATAATATACTGTTCCCATCTTTTAAGTCCTGAATGCGAGGGCAGTTTGAATCCTCGCCGTGAGCACTTCGATCTTGGTATCATCACTGGGGATTATAAAACGAATACGATAAAGGTAAAGTTGTCTTTGTGCGTAATTAACCACCACGACATTAAACCGGATAGTTCGACGCATTCTTAACCTCGGCACTAGATTGAAGTGAGTAATTAGCTTCAGACTCTGGCCGCCTTACCGTCGGAATAGAACCCCCAATACGCATTTATATAAGGCTGTGTGGGCTCCAGAGCAGAGCCTGTCTGAATCGTATAGAGAATAGAGAAACATCTTGCCCTTTTCCGGAATCGAACGACGAATTTTCAGTCCTCCATCCTATAGTCTAGTCACTAAACCGCCCAACAGAATGGTCTAGTTGTAACAGTATGAACTTACATTCGAGAGGTACTTGATTCGAACTCTACCGGGATACCTGCTATCCTGATGAAGATCTGTGATTTTCTGCAGTCCATTTTGGCTACTGCTGGGATAGTACATCAATTTCGCCTTCATTGCATCCTTCCATATCCTTTATATTCCATTGTTCATTGATCACCTCATCATTTATTGCAGATAAGCATCTTTAAATAACCAAGTACTATCTGTCTGTATCTATTTGTCTGTATGTCTGTCCATCTATATATCTATTTGTCTGTATGTCTGTCCATCAATCTATCTATCGATCGCCCTTGTGGACCTTGGCCTCTTTTTGAGTTTCTTAATCCTATACACAGACGGTAGGACTCTTTGGACGGGGGATCAGCCCGTCGCAACGCCGCTGCCCACATACAGAACAACACAAACATAGAATAAACGCACACAGACACATGCCTTAGACCCCGCGGCCACTGTGATCGGCAGTCACCGTACTGAGCGAGCTAATTTTGTTACATAAACATTTGTGTTTGATTCCAGAACATCCATATCAAACTGTTGTAGTGTTTCCATGTAACAACATTTGTTAAGATAATTAAATTGTTAGAACTGTCAGTCAGTAGGTCCTGCCAGCAAATGAAAGTTGAGGTTCCTGTGGCCTCTCGGTTTACGCGTGCCCCCATCAGCTTGACGGTGAGCACCAAGTCGCCACGTACGTGAGACACTGCACGCTCTCTCAAGCATAATAATAATGAGACAGTATGTCCGTTATGTCGAAACACCCCGCTATTGAGCCGAATAGGGGCGTGGAGTTAAAGCTCCTTACGTTAAACACTTCGACCCTGCCATGGATGTGGATCCGGGGAGCAGAACCGCCAGTATGTAATGGGTAGGACGGTGTATAGCCTCCAGAGCCAGTCTCGACGAGAATCAGTTACATGTGCATTCATTCAGCAGTGGCTCTACAGCCCTTTGTTGTGCCCTGGCCACTTTTTCAGTTTCATAATCCTATATACAGTCGGTAGGACTGCTTGAACGGGGGATCAGCCCATCGCAAGACCTCTACCTACACACCGGACAGCACAAACAGACTAAACGCATGCAAACATCCATGTCTCGAATGGGATTCGAACCTACGATCCCAGCGTTTGAGCGGGCGAAGATAATTCATGACTTAGACCCCGCGGACACTGTGAACGGCCTTAAATGTGCATGACGCGCATAATTCTCGCGCTTTCGTTCATTTTTGTTTAATTATCTCCCAAACGGCAAAACTTGCGATAATAATATGGTGGACATAAAACTGGTATTCCATTTATACACCGTGTTACTAGGATGTAATGCACATACATAAGAAACAAAAACTTGTAATAAATCTTCTGTGACAGAAGATGTTTTGGATTACCCGTATATCCTAGTAGCCTGAATAGCTCAGTCGGAAAAGTGACTGGCTACAGGCTGGACGACAGAGGATTTGGAGTTCGAGTCCCTGTAGGGTCAAGAATGTTTTCCTCTCCATGTCATCCAGATCGGTTCTGGGGCCCACCCAGCTTTCTATCCAATGAGTACCGAAGGCTCTTTCTGCTGGGTAGAGCGGCCGGGGCGTGAAGGTGACCACTCACCTTAAACTAGTGCCTAGGTCAAGAAAATGTGCATCTATACATTCACTCTCCCATAAGCCTTCCTGATGTAGTGCTTTACATTTTACTTACATATACTTTGCACCACATCCTAACAGTGTAAGGCAGTTTAGTCTGTATTTTGCACCACATCCTAACAGTGTAAGGCAGTTTAGTCTGTATTTTGCACCACACCCTAACTTAGACCATTGGTATCACTCAACTCCATTCCGTAAAATATTATTTTCCAAATGTCATGAATGAATTGATACCCTCCAGAAGTGCCACTGCAACTTACCATCTTTAATAAACATTTTGAGTCATAGTGTATGATACTTTGTTTTGTATTTCTTTGCAGTGATATCTTGTCTGAGCAGGATATTGAGGTATGTATCAACACTCAGTATTGATTCAGTAGATGTAGCATTAACGTAGTGCATGATGTTCTTGAAGGCCATACATAGAATGTTGATTTGAGGAACTATATGTATTGTTTTGTGAAGTCCATGCAAAGAGGTCAGGAGTAATGACATCCACAGGGTGCACAAATATGTCTGGATAAGGATGCCAAATTGTAAAGAGTGTCCAGCATATGTCAGTATGTTTTATACCATTTATTGAGGTCCCACATCCAAAGACCAAATTCTACAGTTGTGTAGATGTGCCCCTCCATATTTAGGAGGTTTGGTTCAATTCACAGTCCCCATACCCACTATCCTGAGTACAGCATTTATGGTTTCATTGAGTTTTGCAGGAAACATTGGGATATACATAATTTCCAATTCATCATTTGCAAATCATTCTACCATTCGAAGCTCTGTAACCTATACATTTGAACAATGACACTAAAATCTCACATTGTAAAATGAAGTGTCTTTGCGATTGCTGTAGGGGTTTTGTTGAAAGTATGGCAAATACTGTTCAACCAAAATTATTTTCCCTCACTTTGTTAGGAAGTATGAACCTTATGCTTCCTACACATGCTTCATTTGTTGACTTATCTTTTCTTTACAAAGAAAATTTACCATAAGATTTTGGCATTATTTCACTCCGTGGGTTGGTATGTCTTTGTACCACAGTAGTTTTTTAAAGAAAAGTGTGTTAAACTTCATCTTATACAAAGTACCCTCACTGAGAATAACATTGGTTTAGTCCAGAAACAAAGTAACTGAAAAATTTATACAAGTATTTTATTAAAAAAATATGTCATTTCAGTACAAATAAACTAGTAGAAATTGGGCATCAAGCAATTTGGGGTAAACCACCGCACAGACAATTCAGGAACAAATTTTCCTGCTACACATCTAAATTGATTTCTTTATTTTCCTGTATATTCTTGATCACTGTACCAAACCACCTAATGGAAATTTTGATTTTTTTTTTTTTAGAAAGTTAGGCTTAGTGATTGAAAAATTAATTGTGAAAGGAAGAACTTAAACTTTAAATGGTTATCGGATTATAAATTCCTCTCAAGAGAGTATGAAGTTAAATGAGCTAAGAATGTACTCCTAATACACTATTGCTAGTGCTAAGTTATCCCTGTACATATGATATTTGTTTTCCATTATTGTTGCTAGTGCTAAGTTACCCATGTTCCTATGACATTTGTTTTCCCTTACTATTAATAGCGCTAAGTTACCGCCGTACTTAACGATATTCGTTTTCAACACAAGGTGTGTTATGAAGAAAGTGTTTTATAATAACCATTTCTATACAGTTTCTTCTTATGGGTGGAGTTATTCAGTGCTACATTTTCATTGGTACCGTTTTAAATTCTCATGCACCAGAACAAATTTTCATCTGTTTTACAAAGACAAAGCATATTCAAAATCACATACATTGGCCTGAATATAGTTACAATTGTCATCCACATTGGTTGTTGTCAGCACTGAACCATGTTGGAGTTTCACTTAATTACAGACGACACTGATAAGCAGAACCTGCCACATTCAAAATTGCTCCTTTATAAGCACAAGTCACAAAGACTCTCTCACAGTTACAGAGACACCTCATATTACATTATTATTGTGCATATCCAGTTCCCGAATTTTTATATACTGACGTTCATTTAGGCTGAAGAGGGATGAAGTGACAGGAGGTTGGAGAAAACTGCACAATAAGGACCTTCATAACTTGTACTTTTCTCCAAGTATAATTAGAATGATCAAGTCGAGGGGGATGAGATGGGAAGGACATGTAGCACGAATGGGGGAATGGGAATTCATATACGATATTGGTGGGAAAGCCAGGTGGAAAGAGACCACTAGAAAGACCAAGACATAGGTGGGTGTATTATATTAAAATGGATCTTATGAGAGACAGGATTGGGTGGTATGGACTGGAGTGATCAGACTGAGGATAGGGACCAATGGAGGGCTCTTGTGAACACGGTAATGAACCTTTCGGTTCCATAAGATGTTGGGAAATTCTTGAGTAACTGCTCTACTAGCGGCTTCTCAAGAACGGCTCAGCTCCATGGAGTTAGTTAATTATTACATGACCATGGAGAGGAATTTGAATGACCTAAATCATAAGTTCATGTTCAGACCAATGAATCAGAACGTTCATTCATTAGGCATGTTGAGAGTATCACAGTCTGCTTTCTGTGTGCCAGATCTCATTTGTAGCAAAGATAAGATTAATAATTTTATCCTGTTTCTGCTGGAAGTTCACCGTTTATGAGTAAGCATTTTGCAAAGTTGTTTTCATTACCTCCTGTGTTCCTACAACTTCTCTGCTCACATTCATTCCAAGTCTGTTTATCTTCTTTTGGTGTATACTCTTTTACCTTGGGGTAACTTGATGAATGGTCCAGTTCTGTTACAGCACAGAATTCCTTAACTCATTGACTAGTTAAGGACTGCCATTTATCAAGGTATCTGTACACAGACTCTCATGAGAGGAAAGAGTATGTTGGTATGGCCTGTAGCCTCTGACACCCTTACCCAGTTGTTGAGTCAGGAGCTGTGTAAACAAACTAATGCCACTTTGAAATTCTGCAGCCCTGTTGAAACTGGAATGTTCACAGTCAGTCTGTTTTAGAAACATAGTAGATTATGGGAAATGGTGTGTTTACCCAGTGTAATAGATATATAACAAGTGTCTCAGCAAAGTTGTGCAAAAATTGGATATTGCAGTGATACAAGTTATGTCAGTAGAGAATGCTACAGAGGGTCGGATGGGCATTGCCTAGGCCTTCTTTGTATTTACAGTTATTTTTCACAATAAAAAATGTAATGAACCCAGCTTAGCAAACATTCATAACAGCTACACAGGACACAATAAGTAGACCTACCCATTTCCATAAGATAAGTACATATACATGCATATATACCATAAGAAACACCAATGCATATCATACACGAAATACTAATATGAGATGAATGAATGTATAAGGGGTGGGGCTTCTTGGCCCTTGCACCGCGACCTACAGTGGTCTGTTGTGCTTATTATGAGATACTAATACACGTTACGGACACACGGGCACATAGAGGACAGCATATGCAAAATGGATGGAAGCACAGCAGTTTCATTAGCAATTTTATAGTCACCTGAAGATAACCGACGTTGGTCGAAACATGTAGCGTGATGTAGAGGAGATTTTAACATTTGAAACTTATAAAGGTTTAAAAAAGCAAGTTGCATTGTGAGATGGCTAAACACTAACAGGGATAAATGAGTGATGTGCAGCAGGATTCTATGATAAAATATTGTAGCATGGAGACCCACTGCTGAGTGGTGACTCTGTAAACAGCGGCCTTTGCTAGGTAATGCCCATAACATGCATGCATGCATCAATAGAAGAGCTTAGTTCAGGTGTGGGTTATTTGCCAGATGGTAAAGACATAAGCAGAGGACAGTGTTAAGATCTGTTACCAGGCAACAACTAGTGGAGACTATAACAGACTGAGAACACTAGCAAGTGTGTAAACCATTGAGGCTGCTGTAGTTACTTGTAGTTATGAGTTGTGTAAGTGGTCAATAAATCAAGTCATCAATCCGAACCCCATCTATCATCACACGAACACATGGCCATATTATTGTAACGCTTATGTTTCATAATGTTACTGTGGCTGCTAGGCTCAGACTTCTGACTGTTAGCACCTGAGCTGATTCCTAACTGAGCTCATTAGGAATTTAAGGTTGGTAGATAAAGCGTCGCCAAGACAGGTTCATCTCCAGGTACTTCATTGCCCATCAGTATCTCAGTGATGAACAGTATCTGTGAGGAGAGTGATGGGCCCAAGCATATAGCAGAATGTCATGATCTTGCTTGTCATTTGGGGCTTTAGTTTTGCTGGATGCAAAACCTTAAAATTGATGGCACAAGGTTTGAGGTTCTTTGTCTCATTTCAGAGTATTAGTTAGCACCCCTGCTCTCTCCTGGATTACAGTCTCATTCTCGCTCCTGTACCTTTCTGTGGTTTTACATTTCCTCCAGGCACATGATGGAGTGGTCATACTGCAGCATAATCATCGTACCATTTAACAGTATAATCTATCCAGCTGATAAACTATTATTAAATACACGGACTCGTTGGTGTCTACATGTCTGATATCTGATTTAAGATTAAGTGATCTGTAATTGTATGTAGAGTCTACTTCATGGAGATATGTTGTAAAAAGCATTTGACACAAGCCTGTTTTGAATAGAGTTCCTGTATTTTCTGATTCTTTTTTCAACTAAATTCTCCAATTTATTCACTGCCATCTGTGAGTCGATTGTCTAGAAAAATGTGGAAGCCGTGATGCCCAACAGCCCTATGGGCCTCCAGGGCCTGTCACAGTCATAGCTTTATCTTAATCTCTAATTTGTTTCCAAAATGAAAGACCAGTGTAGGACAGTGACTTGCATGATTGGCTATGGATAAGACAGCTGTAGCTAGTTACCCTTTTGAAAGTTTAAATAGAAGCTGGTGCTCATTCCTTGTGCCATTTAACAAGATGCATAACTCCAAGGGAACCTTACCCAAGTGATTATGATTCTCTGTGATACCGTGTTGCAGAACAGGTTCTCTGCCTTGTCTCTGGCATTCAAAACGGACAAACTCACATTAGTAACCCGCCATAACCGTCAGCAGCGGCAGAGAGACCAGGCCGAAAGAAACATGTCTACAGAGGTGATAGCCCTGAAAGCTGCTGTACATGTGAGTATGCATTTGCTCTAAAGGGAAATGTCTCGTACTAAACCTGGCAGTTCAAATAGGTCATGTACTAAGCTCCTTCAGCCCACATTACTACAGTTCCTCTGCTAAGATTACTGCTGGTATCATCTTATCATCCTTCTTGACCTTCCTTTTGTGTGTCTGCTTCCAAAGAGATCATGCCATCTGTGCTGCATGTCCAGCCCATTGTATCATAATTTAATGCCTTTAATTCCTACACTTTTGCATGCAAGAACAGTCCCATTGCAGGCATCTGTCTGTGCTTTTCATGGTTATTGTAGGATGAAAGTTGTTTCATGATTACCGTAGTACATCTGTGATTACAGAAGCCTGTATAGTATTTTCATAGGTTGTATTTTGTGTTTTTATCTGCCGGTGACCGCCCTACTCTAAAAGTAGCCAGTAAGGAAGCCACCTATACGTTAATGTTACTGTACAAGACCTTAGCAATGAAAGGCTTAGAAACCTTCTCAAGTCTCTTGCACCAACTACCTACCTACATAATAAGCTCTGTGGTACAGCATCATCTGTGAAAATTCCCTGTCATTATGGAATCTATATGTCCATTGCCATGTTACATAAGTCCACCATCAGGTAACATTCTGAGTCATTGCATTATGGCTCACATCCTGACAGCCTGTTTCCCTAAGGTCCATTGTAATATTATGCATCTGTCCATTCCTTGACCTCACAAGTATTTGTTTCTCCAGAGGTTTTCTCATAAAATCTTTTAGAAGTTTCTAGTTTTCCTTGTGCATGTTAAACATTTTTCATGACATGATGGTTACCCACAGGCAGGTTTGACTTGTTTGTGACTTGCTGTTTAGTAAGCAAATTTAAACACTTCTCCATGTGACACACAACTTTTGTCCATTGCAGAACCTCAACTACCTCTGCAAGGATTCGGAGTCTATTGAAATTCTTGGTAAGATTCAAGACCAGGTCGATGTGCTCCAGCAGTCAACTGAGCTAGTGTCCAGCTCAGCAGAGGTGAGACAAAGTGCTTTCTTTCTTTCAAATCACATGGAGAAACAAATTTAGTCATTATTTCCAGCATAACATGTTTTAGAAAGTAAATTTGCAGATTGTTATTTGGGTCATGTTCACAATGTATCATGCTTGAGAAATAAAAGTGTGACATGCCTTAAGAAAGCAAAAGTATTGGGGCTAAGGAAAATAAAGTGAATGAATGTAAGCACCATGAACCTAGAATAGAATAAATGAAAGGGGTTGAATGAATGAATAAATGAGTGAATGAGGAGTGAGCCTTGATTGGTCCTCTCACCATGATCTTCAGTGATCTATTGTGAACCCCCCTCTGTTCAGCCCCTCCACAAACAGTCCTGCATTTCAAATGAAGCAGAGTATCTCACTTAAAGGGGTGTCTTTTTAGTCGCCTGGTTCCATAAAGTGGTGCCCCATGTAAGTAAGCTCTAGCCTTACAATTACACGTATGTTCCTTCAAGTGACAGTGCCCTACTAAGAGTCCAGTCACTTGTCTTAACTGGTTCCTGTTTAGTACCATCACCTCCCCACATATTTCTGTCCAGGCGTGGACTGCCAGTGTTACCGGATTTTTTTATGTTCATTCAGTCTGTAATGGCCCACTTTGTGACTTTCTGAGATGTCACAGGCCAGTTCAGGTCCTATAAATGGATGTTCAAGATGTGTTTCTCCCAATCAGCGACTTCCTCTCATATTCTAACGTAACTGTACTATTGCCAGAAACATGCTTCTTTGTGAGGGCGTGGGGGTCCTATGCTTGGTTGGCATTAATAAGCACCATGGTGAATTTTGTGCTGTTTTGTATTCTCTGTTTGTTGTACTCATAAGGCCCGAAACTGTGATCTCCACTTAACCAAATATTATTTCAGGTAAATGCTTATTGGTTATGATGACTGGTTAAGGGAACATGGGAAATGGTCTGTCCTTACATCTTTACCTTCCTATTGTTAAATAGTTCGATGTCAGTTTACCCCCATCTTTATATGATCAGTCCAGTTCCATGTGTGTTTCTTGTCTTGCTGTACAGCACAGTTGCATGCCTTTCTTGTTGGCATTGTCTTGGCCCTCCTTTCACTTCTCACCATCATGTTTGTTACTAGATGTTATCTTCAGCCACCTGCCTCCAGTTTTTCTCTCTACATGGCCTTTCAGTCTCTTGCTGTATGCAATAATCTCTTGAATTATGCTTAACATATTGGTGCCAGAAACTATAATATTATGCTTCGATGCAGTTTGTTTTTCAAATTTTTCTGCAGTGATATATCAGTAACATGTTCAAAATATCGTGAATGTGGCTTCTGTTTCTGTATCTTTCAACCAGCAGAAGGTATTGAACTACCAGAAATTTAATTTTGAAGTTGAAAACTAAAAAATATCTCTACAAAATGACCAGGATGCAAGCGTTTTATGGATTTGCCAGGTTCAGTGTCCCGAGTCTGAATAGAACGTGCTGTCCCTCCAGTCAGTTCTTGTTTTTTCTCATTGTGTGAGTGATACATTATCTGTCAGTTGTGATGCTGCTGTCAATTCTCATGAGCTACAAATGACACAGCCTGTTTCTTTCTTTTGTGATGATTCAGTTTCTTCAATTATGTTATCAAGCTTAAGTTTCTTTTGCGTGTCAGTATCTCTTTTGTTTTTTTCTCTCCAATTTGTTTCGGGGGCCAGTCCTGACAGCATGTGTACGAATATGTACATGTAAGGGTACTGAGCACCCTGCTTCCATTGCTTCACACCAACATCATACTCCTATATATATTGTCTTGAAATCAACAAGAAGGTTCATGAGTTGGTTGCTGACCAGTCAAAGGCAGTTATTCAAAATGTTGCAGTCTTTTGTCCAACTGAGTTCAAGGGGAATTCATCTTGGCCAGAACAAATTATTCTGGCTTTGGTTTTCATCACTTGATTTAGAAAACTCCATTCAGATGTTTTGAAAGTACTTTTCAATGAACTATCACCAGCGCCCCATTCTTCAGAATATACTATGGTATGTAGACCTGTTGTTGGCAACGACTGCGAAACAACTAAACAACGGACGTTACTAGGCAACGGCCCGTAAACAGCAACAGAGGAACGGTGTATTTTGTGCAGTCCATGCCGAGATGCTATAAGCAGGACAGTTAGTGTGGGGTCAGTTACTCAGTCAATGAAGTGAAGAGTAGTTGGTTGGTGAGTAAAGTTGGAGGACTGTTAGAGTTCTGTCATCATGAGCTGTTGCTGCGAGAAGCTGTTAGCTGAGGCTGGGGACCATTCAGGAACCCAGAGGAAGGGGAACATATGCCATTGGAAGCTGCTATGAAGCAGCAGCTAGTGGAGACTGTAACAGACTGAGAATACCAGTTTGTGTGTGACAGTGAGTTGTGAAGTGTAGTCACGAGTTGTGTGTTAATGTGCTAAGTAAATCTGGTCATCAATCCAAAACCCGTCTATAATCACTCAATCACATGACAATATGTAGGTGACCAATATCACATCTTATTTGGCCTCTGAAATTGAAGCATTTGTTTTCATTACAGATGTTTGGAGCAGTACAGCAGGAAATCCGAGTGTCGAAAGCGATTGAGGTGATGCTGACACATGTCGAGAATCTGAAGCGTATGTACGAGAAGGAGCACACGGAGCTGGAGGAAACCAAGTGAGTTTGTATGCCAGTATGTTGTATGATTTACGGTCAGCTTCTAGTGGATTGAAAAGTGTTATGGCATGTTGGCAGGCGAGTGTTGCTGGAAAACAATCTTCTTGTGGAGGGTAGCGTGGACAGTACAGAAGCCACTCAGAGGAACCCACGACATCGCATCCTCAATTCTCTGTCTGGCCAAGGAAAACAGGTAAGAAGCCACACATGTTGGATGATTTTATTTCACTTATTCATTATCTTAGACTTTGTTTGGGCAATGCTGTGTTGTGCATTCTTGCATGTATGGGGGGAGTTTGAAAAGGAATGAGATTGACAACACTGCTCATCTTCAGTGGCCTGATTGAGATGATATTTGTGTTGTGTTGTTTCTGCAAGTGTGTTTAGCTAACAGTGCAAAGGTTACAAATTTTCATAGCATTTGTACTGTAGCATGTAGAGCAGTTGCTATGCAACAACTGCGAGATGGGCGGATATACTAGGGCCGTTTCTGGGCAGCAGCCCAGTAAATATATTCTCGTTGCTAGGCAACAGCTTCTTCATAATGCAACAGTTGGACTACAACAGTGGAAGAGCTGTGCTTACTACGTGGTCCATGCCAAGAGGTTATAAGCGAGCTGCAGTTTGGAGCTTAGTTAGTTGTCAGTTGATAGTCATTTTTATGGGAGTCTGTCAAGAGAGGTCTTGAGCTGTTAACTATCACTGGAGTACTGGGCATAAGAGAATCTGTCCAATGTATGTCCCATGCCCTTGCCTATGTAAGCACGGGCCAGAAAGGTGAATGCAGGCTGTATATGAAGTCGCTATGTGAACAGCTTTGCAGCGCCAGTCAATATTGCTCCTTTACAGAATGAGTGTCCTTTGTGTTCCAGAGGAGACGAGCAAGCATTGCAGTGTTTCGTCCCCTTGGTTCACCAGATTCCACAAAGACTTCAAATGCCTCCCTTACCTTTGGGGTAAGCTCAGAGCCTGAAGGCTTCATAATAAATAACTGTTCTAATCTGACCAAGTGAACACCAGAGATGTTTTGTGTTATTTTATTCATTACACTTATATACTTCAGTTTGCCATAAACAATGTTTGTCTTCCTTGACATGCAGCATTAATCTCGGAGCAGATATCATGGTGAGCCTTCCTGAAATGTCACTTCTTTAGTGCATGGTGGTAGTTTCTTTGGACAGTGACCATTTTCTTCATAACTGTCTGAAGACTTTAAACGTTACTGTCTTCTGGTGTGATGCTGTTGTCTGGCAGAAGTTTACTGACATTTTGGAGGAACCTGTTGCCCTTCATCTTCAGATGGACACACCGTCACATCCCAGAAGACAGTAATGTTGACAGTCATCACTGTGAGAGCCTCAGATCTTATCTGCAGAGTGTTCATACATGGCAGCAAATTCTTGTTGTAACATTATTCTCTTATCTTCTTTGGTGTATATCAATATTTTTTGTTAACAATGACAGAGAAGAGCTGATGAGAAGATAAAGTACTAGCTTAATCAAGCACAAACCTCAGAATAGAGCCGTGCCATAGCTCAAGCGGTTAGTCGCTGGCTTCCCACCATGGCGGCCCGGGTTCGATCCCGGGTCTAGTCAAGTGGGATTTGTAGCGGACAAAGTGGCCCTGGGGCAGGTTTTCTCCGAGTACTTTGGTTTCCCTTGCCAATCTTCATTCCACCGAATTGCTCCACAATCACCCTCACCTATCATCTGGGGCTGGTACAATAGGCCAGAAGTGGCCGCAGTAAATTCTGATGTGGGAACATCAACCACAAACCACATCATGAAAAGGCTAAGTTTTGTAACTTCCAACTGTAAACACTGAGCATATACAAGTGTCTCTCTTTCTGGACCTCATAATAAATAAAATAAAAGCTTATATGAATATGCACCCTGAAAACCTTTCTTAAGAAGTTATAACCGTTAGAAAAATGTCAACTCTGCCCTAAAAAACAGTGCTCTGAGAGAACTCTGTTTATGGTGCATGATGATAGCAGAGATCCATTTGATGCCGAACTAGTTACGTAAATCGGCTGGAGTAGGCCTGCACGTTCTTGTGACTTCAATCCTTGCAATTCTTTCCATGAGGATATTTGAAAACCAACGTTTGTTCCACCACAGTTGATACCGGAACGGAATCATGGCACAGAATTAAACAATATCCAAGTGAAATAAAGAATATACATAGGATCTCCGAACGCATGTGAGTTTCTTTTTCACACGGAGCTCAGCTGTGTGTTTGCAAAAATGGAGGCAATTTTGAGCCCTTCACATAAGAAAGTAAAAACAGTTAAGTTATTAATAATGCTAACTGCCATGTTTGCTGAAACATTGAAGAAACACGTATATTATTTGTAGCTTATTCCTGAAAGTTAAAGTCATATATTAGACTCCATCTGCAAAAACTGGAGGACAAGAATCAGTAATTCTGACCAGCCAACATTTGAGTCATAACACAAGACACACGCCAAGCTGGAGGCAGAAGTCTGTCATAATGAATAGAAGAAATTCTGGCACACTTCACTGTCTCCAACTCTATTTGAGTGAAGCAGGATTTCAGTTACATTCAGGCACATGCTGACATTGTTTTGCAGGATACGAAGCGGGGTGTACCACACAGCCGTCGTACGCCATCATCCTACACGGAGAGTCCAGGTCCTGGTTGGGACCGCACAGATCGGCTGGACAGGCCCGAGTGAGTTACGCTTCGTTTCTTTTCATGTGTTTGGATTTTCAAGGATTCAGTTTCTTTACTGTACATTAAAGAACTGAAAAAATAGATGTAATTCCCAAATTGTATGCCATCATTTTGTTCAGAATCTTCCCAGATCTACTGGAGAGTTCTAAATACCGCATAAAAACCTGTGTGAGATTTGAGTTTCCCACAGCAGCATTTGAAGATTACTGTGTTCTCTAAAGATTGTTTTTCAATATTTTTTCCACTGTCAGATTATTTTTCTCGTCACTTGGCCCCACCCTTTTAGAGCAACCATCTCTGATTGGTCTGTTCACAACCCTATTTCCTTTCATCTTTTTCATATATCTGTACCATCATTTTACCATATGGCTTACTCTTCTATCCTGAAAGATGGAGTGGCAAGTTCCTACCCCTATTGCATGGTGTAACATTGCAGATGACAGTAATGTTTGGAACTGCGTAAATTCCTGGTTTGTCATGGTTACACATATTTAAAGTGTGATCTTCTGAGTATAACACCATGCAGTTCTGTTGGTAGATACTCTGGCATTTCAGGGGAACATGCTATCCCCCATCTTCAGGATAAAAGTGGTGTGGCCAGATTATATAAGCAGGGTGACATGGAAAGTAGTTGCTTAAACCATGTGTTCCTATTGCCCCAGGCAAGACATCGTTAGCATATTCCTCCAAAATGTTGGTATCCACGTACAAGACTACATGGTGTCAAAACCCAGAGACTGCAGTATGAACATAAAACTAATTTTACACAGTTATTTAGACCGATGTAAGACTTGATGCCTCAATCACTAAGGCAGAGTGTGTTTCAAAATGAAAAGCTGAGTAGGATGTTTCAATGTAATGGACATGAAGCAGAAAAATATGGCAGTTTCCCTTCAAGTTCCATAAAAATTTGTCAGCAAACTTTGCATTTGAGTCTACTTTTATCCTGTTAAGAAATTAGTCATCATGGCATGGTTCAGGCAGTAGACATTAGCTTCCTGTTCCTGAGGCCTGCCATGTGGGATTGTATGGTGGATTGAGTGGCACCAAGGTAGATCGTTCTCCAAGTACTTAGTTTTCTCCTGCCAGTCTTAATTTTACCAGTGCTCAGTGCTGATCTGTCATGAGCCTCATAATCATGACTGCTGGTACAATACGCTGCGGTACCCAAAAGAAACCGAACTAATTTTTTTGTGGGCAGAGCTTTTGTAGTACTGCGTTTTGCCGCTATGAGTGCATAGAGCTAACATTCCTGAGTCAATAAGCCGACTGCCGTTGCTTCAGAAGGTAAGGACTAGTTTCGGCAGAGTTTATAGTGACAACTGTTTTGTGAGATCGTCGTTTTTGCAATGGCTGATTTTCGTGAACAGCGTGTGGCAGTGAAATTCTGCTTTTTGCTCGGGAAAAGTGGAACAGAAACTCTTGAAATGTTAAAAACGGCGTACAAGGACGATGCTATGGGGAAAACTCAAGTGTTTGAGTGGTTTTCCCGTTTCAAAAATGGTGAAATGTCAATTGATGACAAACCTCGTTCTGGTCGTCCTTCCACGGCCCGAACACATGAAAATGTTGAAAAAATTCGTGAAATCATCAAGGAAGATCGACGACGGACCATTGAAGAAATTGTGGAGCTGTCGGGAGTGACTTGGAGCTCAGCGGCCAGATTTGTGGCAGTCGGGTGACTGGTTTTTCCATCATGACAACGCCCCTGCTCACACAGCCCTGTCTGTACGACAGTTCTTGACCAAAAATGGTATGACCCCTGTTCCTCACCCTCCATACTCACCCGACCTTGCCCCGTGCGACTTTTTTTTTTGTTTCCTCGAATGAAAAGAGACATGAAAGGAAAAAATGATGGAGGCGCTGTCAAGCATCCCAAAAGATGAATTTAGACAATGTTTTGAAAAATGGAAGAAAAGACTAGACAAATGTATTAGTGTAAGTGGAGAGTACTTTGAAGGGGATTGAAGGTTTGTGCTTAAAATTTGAATAAATAAGTTTAAAAAAAAATAAGTTCGGTTTCTTTTGGGTACCCCCTCGTAGGTACATTTTGGGCTGCAGTATGGAGTTGCAATAAACTCTCTGCTTGTTGCTGTCACTGTTTTCATCATCACAGTGGTGGTGACATTGGTGTTGGAAGTCTTGGTGTTCTGTTCATTATAACGGTGACAGTTTCGTGCACTATAGGCAATTAATTGCAAAGAGTTATCTATGTAGTTAGGTACACTCACCAAAATAGTATCAAGGAATGGTGGTGATATAATTATTGTGTCTTTGGACATTATCTATCAGTTTTTTTTTAAACCAAAATGTTTCAGAGACTGGATTCTATCTCTGTCTTCAGGTAAAAACCTACTCATTTGGGTCCAATCAGCAGAGCTAGTCCCTGTCTCTGGAGATGGAGACAGAAGCCAGTCTTCTAAACATTGTTTTAAATTTAAAAAACAGGACACTGGATAATGTCCAAAAACACAATAATTGTCTTAATATACCATCATCACAAACTTTTAGATCCAATGGTGGTGATATTTTCATCATGACATGAGGAAGTATGTTTTGCTGTATTTTAATGAAAACATTGAAACTTAAGAAGCATCATTAACTTTAATTGCATATAAAAACTGAGAAAAGCCTGGTCCTTGCACTTTGCAGATTGGTAGGAGGAAGCATGGATGACATCAAGGAACTGTCAGAGGGACGGTGCGAGAGTCCCGTTGATTCTAAAGAACCAAGCACCACTCTGGAGGAAAACAACAACTGCACAGGCACCACCAGCCATAAGTCAAGCAGCTGCGACAGGTAACACACATATTATGGGATTCTGTCTTCAGCATCCATGTTTTTTGTCTCATATATATGATGCCGGAAGCAGCGACTTGAAGCACAGAGCAAATGATGCTCAAGATGGTTCAAGTTCGTGTAGCAACAGGTGTGACCAGAGTGGTTTGAACGGCTGTTGTACTGTGATGTGGAAAGCAAATGGAAAAACTACCACATTATCACTTTTCCTGTATAGTCTCTTTCCAAAAACAGAAGATTGCATTAAGTGGAGGAACTGTTTTGGAAGAGACTGTGAACCTGTCATCTGACAGATTACTGATGAATGAATTAATATGATATATATGGACATTCCTACTCTTCTTCACACCTGTCTGATGTGTACTGTAACACCTCTTCACTTCCAGAAGGTAAGGGTTGTGTAAGGATTTTCATTCTTCTCATTCACTCCAACCATCTGCTTGGATAGCACCCTGAATAAAATACAACTCCTCCTTTCCATGCCCTTTCCTCATCATGAACAATGGTAAACACTCAGCATTACTGTTCTTTTTTTTTTTACTTTGTCCATTGTCTGGTGTTCTAAAGAACACAAAAGAACACTTTTCAGAAACTGGAACTGTTTCTGTCTTCAGGCGAGTGGTTGGAGACAGCTACTGTGTTGAGTCTGTTAGAAAGAGCTAACCTCAATCACTGGACCAATTTCCAGAATGGGGTGTTCTCATGTGTTTTTCAGAATACGAGACAATGGACAAAGTCCAAATACCCAGTAATCCTGATTGTTACAAATCACTGTCAGAACCGTTTAGAATTTACTAAGGCTAAATACGTATCTGCTCATCTGTGGCAAGTGAAAAAATCAAGACCAGTGAATGGAAAAGTCTTCCATTTTATCTGTGAATATTTTGTTGTGTTCACCATGTTGATATTTCTACAAGTATCAAACAATATATCTGCAATTGGCCTTTGCTAAAACAGCACTGACATGTTAGAATATTGAGATGTAGGAAAACGTGAAGTACAGTTACGTTGGCATGATTTCTGTCATGGAAAGATTTCTGGTGAACAGAATTTTTGTCTGATTGGTGAAATGAGCCAACATTTTGTTGACTTCTGTCTGTAATTCATAGTCATCTCTCATCATGTACACCATAATTTATATAGGTGATGAATAGTTGTTAAATCAATCAAAACCAGCTGCTCTCACCCTTCAGGTCTTTCATTGCCTGTCAGTCCACATCATTCTGTCTGTGATCATAGCCTGGCATTTGTTCCACCTCCAAGCCAATATGATATAGCTTGCCCTGGTATTTGCTCACATAACCACTCTTATTTTTGTTTCTGCAGTATTTTCAGTGGTGAGTTCTTGCAAATACAGTAACAAACCTATAGGTTCCATAAAAAGGTAGAAAATATCTTGAGCCACTGAGCAACTGTTAGCTTCTCAAGAGTGTCTCTGTTCTTTGGAGTTACATAACATTTTCTAGCAGCACGTCTGGCGGCACTCAGTTTCCAACTCTTGCAGCTGCACCTCCCAACGTCACTCAGGTTGCTGACGTACTGGCACAAGCATTCACATAACCACCGTAAACTGCAGTGTTTCGAGTTCTCCATTTCTTGTCTTTTCTGATCATTCCGTTCTCCTTGTTCATACCTGTGTTTAAGCTTCGAAGAATCCTTTATTTTGGATCCAGCTGTGCATGTGGTTATAGGTGATGATGCAGCTGAAGGTGGGAGTGCTGCCTGCTCAAGCCTCTGAAACACCTCAGGGGTTTTAATAGATGTGCAGAATGATTTGAATAGGAAGACTGGACTGCTGGGAGAATTAGCTGCCCAGTGCTATTTAGCCACCACCAATTGTATTTTTAACCTGCTGGTTCTCTAGGTGGCTGTTGTGTGAGCTTTGGCATGGTGCCCACATACAAGTAACAGTATAGTGTGTAATGGCATGTTTTTTCCCCCCTTCGCTGTGTTTCAAAATGTTCTACTGTTCATAATGTGTTCTGTTTCCTCATCACAAATTTTCCATTGTGGTCATGAGTTCAGTACTGAATTCTGTACTTTGCTGTCGCAGTCCCCCAGAAGTCGTAGGTGAAAATGTCACGTCTAGTTTCGGGAACACAGACAAGAATCCTACGCAGTCCGGTGAGATGAACAAGGACTTCACCAAGGACTCTGATTACTCTGCAGCATCCCTCAGCAGGAATCTGCAGTCATTGCGTTCCTTCAGGTAACTTCCACACCCTCTGCAATGGGGTACATGTACATTTTCTCTGAGGGGAAGAAGTGCATCTGAAAATACCAGTAAGAGTTTTCAGTGGATTGGCTACAGTTTTTCATAGCAAGTGTTTCCATAAAAGAAGAGAATATAGTTGCACCCTGGAAATCAGAGCACTGACTGAATCGGCGATATTCAGATCCTCTTCCTCTTCTTCTTTCTATTCCTCCTCTACTGATGCCGGTACCCTATGTGGGTCTGGGCCTCCTCTGTAGTCCTCCATAGGCTCTGGAGGGTTAGTAACAGATTTTTCTGGGGTGAGGTTCTTAGCCCCTTGCCCAACCCACAACCCGGAGGACCAGGATCTACACTTCTCTGATCCATACCCTTTGACCTTTCTGTCATGGATGACCCTACCAGGAGCTTACACTCCCACCAACATATCTCTCTGGGTCATTGAGGCATGCAAACCTCTCTGTGGTAAGGTGGTAGCCCCTAGGATGGACTCATTTTAGCATTGTAATTTACTACAGCTGTGTGATATAACAGAGGGGCCAAATATAGTTACAGTTAATTTATTTAATGTTTCTTATAGAATATGTAGGAAGTTGGGCCCAGCCGTGGCTCACTTACAAAGCAGTTGTCACATTATCTCTTGAAAAAGACATTAGGAGTTGATTGCATTAGCTGAAGAATTTCTTTGTAGCAGGATATTATATCATGAACACATGTCTTTACTTTAGAACTAGGTTCAGAATTTGAGTAATTTGTAGTTATATCCTTGGCATCATTGACCCAATTCATGAATCTGTTTATGTACTACATAGTCTGTCAACAATGCAACAAATTGTTCCTTCTTTCTTTCACTTTTGACACAACATTCAGCCCTAAATGGCCATCTTCAGGTGTCTTACTATGCTAAAACTGCTACACTGCACTAATATTATCCATTCATCACATACATACATACATACATGTATATACATATTTAACTGTATACTTCACAATTCAAAACGTCATAATCGTGGTCTGACTGGTATGCGCTAAAATAGCACATGCTGTAGTTCATTTAATTTAAATCAAACAAAATCTATTAAAATTTTATTTAAATTTTGTAAAATTCTTATTACACCTCACAAGGGGCATCATCCACTTGTTTGATCTGTAGCCTTTCTATTGCAGCAGTATATTTTTCTATTTGTAAGCCTGCTGTAATGTTACTTCTGCAATCTGTAATTTTGCCCCTTGCTTGTGTTCCCTCTGGCAGCATGTGGTGTTGTTAATGCCAAAACGTGTTGAAAGTGAAAGAACAATTTGTTGCATTATTGATGGACTGTGTAGTACATAAGCAGTTTTAGATATAATAATGTAACAGGATGCTTAAATACAAGATTCTGCTTCAAGAAGTTTGTGACAGAATAAAGAGCTTTATAACAAGTCTGTGTTTTACGGGGTGGCATTAAATGGGATGTGACTGTATTTTGACCAGTTTGAGTAACGATCACCTTTTCAGTGATGGCTGCATTGCATAGTGTATACAGCCACTGACTGTTCACTTTTCCGATGACATTAACATGACAGTGTTATGTTATAGGGATACTGCTATGGAATTTACAAGTCAGGTGCACATGACTCTAGTCAACTGCATGATGCCCCTGAACATGGACTACATGCTGATCCAGACACGGCGTTGTGCCACACTCCTGCTCCTATTTGCAGCGTTCTGGAGTCTTATATCCACATTTGTGCCAACAACAGCAGAATCCAGGAATTCTATACCTTTCTCCTGGTTGACCTTGAAAGATGTACTCCTTCCATATATGCAGCTACAGCATTATGGTCGCCCACCCACATAACAGACCCAGTTCACCAACAGAGTGAGGGGCTGAGCACCCTAGGATTTAAGACATAAACCCATGGCACCAAAGCCAAGTTGATACATTATTCAGAATTTAGGACTCTGCGACCATGATTCTGCTTGTTAGAATGTACAGTGATATTTCGATCTGTTACGCTGTTTTTCGTTATCTTCAGCAGAGTTTTTAAACATGTTGATAACTTATCAGCTTCAGGAAGATATTTATTTATCTAGTTTGTAATTTTGTTCCATATGTTGTAATGAATCACCATTAAATTTTCATCATCAGTTTCAAGTTAGCAATTGTCCATTTTGCAAGTGTGAACACAAAGTGTGCAATATAGATGGACAACCTCATTTTGTGATTAAGAGAAAGGTAGTCCAACACCATTAAAGCAGTACACTAAAACCAGAGATGAAAATGTGTATTAAGAAACCCACAATTCAAAGCCTTTTAAGAAAATATGATTCTGCTTGTTAGAATGTACAGTGATATTTCGATCTGTTACGTTGTTTTTCGTTATCTTCAGCAAAGTTTTAAACATGTTGATAATTTATCAGCTTCAGGAAGATATTTATTTATCTAGTTTAACGTTTGTAATTTTGTTCCATATGTTGTAATGAATCACCATTAAATTTTCATCATCAGTTTCAAGTTAGCTTTTGTCCATTTTGCAGGTGTGAACATAAAGTGTGCAATATATATCAAAGACCTCATTTTGTGATTAAGAAAAAGGTTTCACCATTAAAGCAGTACACTAAATCCAGATACCTTCTGTCCAAAAATCAGAGATGAAAATGTGTATTAAGAAACCCACAATTCAAGGCCCTTTAAGAAAATATATTTTTAGGAAAAATATATGCTTTATGCTCTACATATTCATGAAGGGCACAGATCTGACAAAATTGTACATGTGTGTGTATGTGCGCAGAACACTTTCTATTCTTGATTCTTTAGTACCATTTCAGATTATTTTTTTCTGATAAATAGTATTTAATTTGGCTATCAGATACCACTTAAGGTGATGCACCCAATAATTCAGTTCTAAAAATCTTTAATCATATCTATGCTCTGATGGGCACTGGTCAGCTTAATGCGTTCTAGGATGTGATACCATGTAGTATGGTAGATAGGCTCCTCCAAAATTTCTGCACTTCCCTACCAGGCTACACAGAGTCACATCCTACAAGTAATCTCAGAGTATAAAGAGAACTAAACAGAATATGAAATGTTTGCGTGCAAATATTATTACATGTGGACCCATGTGCCCCATACTACAGGTTACATAGTACAGCATCCATCTCCTGTGTATCATATCGGTGAATAAAGCTGATGGAAATTCTAGTAGTAAACCTTCTGTTGCTTCCATAATTATTCAGTTTAATAAATATAATCAAGATAGAAATCATGACACAAAGGCCTTTGCGCTTCAGATTGGGGGTTGTGCTGTTGGCTGGAAACCCATTCAAATAGAGAACTATATTTTCACAACTTACAAGGGTGAATCTTAACCCATCAATATGGTTTGATGTAGATATTATGTCAGGCATTTAATTGCTCTGTGTACAGTTTAATGTATATTGTACGTTTGGTCATTAGCTTTATTTCTCTCATCTCATTAACGAAAGTTTCATAACTGAATATACAATATTTATATTATAATGGAGAAAATAGGAACACGCATGGGGTACTGAATAGGGGGTAGCTCATAATACTATTATAATGAGAATAGTGCTTTGTGGTAAGTTTTGAATTTATCACAGAAAAGATTTAGAAAAGTACCAGTAACTTTGATATGTCATAAAAAATGTTATAAACTGTATACAGTATTATGTGTTGCCCTCAAAACCAAAGAACCATTATTTGAAACATTTTATTCAATAATAAATAGAAGAATTATTTCATATGCTTAAGATAAATGGGACACTCACATAGGTGTACCAAAGGGTATGAATCATTCACAAACTCTGTGTCCCCCAAACTCCGTGTAGGTGTCTTCTAAGTTTTTGTGTATACTATGTGAAGATGTCTCAGAATATGTGTTGCTGAGAGTTATGTAGGTGGTTCAAAGTGTATGCAGATGTCTCTGGAGTGTTGAGGCCAAGCTGGATAAAGTGGGCAAGGCATACAGCAGGAACTAAAACTGCTTAGAACTTAATCTACTGTAAGAAGACCAGTTGGGGAAACTACATGGATTATCTTAAGACACAGTAGGAAAAGTATGTATAGCAATACTGGTGTGTTCATTCCATATAATTATTATGAAAACTACAACACATACTGACAACATGCACTTGAGCAAAAAGTAGTTTCATGTCTCTCTGCAACTTCTGTCTGAAACATTCTTTGTTGTAACAAATATTTTGGGAATTAACATTCAAGAAACATGCAAAAAACATGTGTAGATCTTCATGTAAAAGAATCCACTATTGTTCCCAAAAATTGTATTGGTGACCAAGTTTCATAAAGCTTCATAATATCAGATTTCATGAAAATTTGATCAGCAGTTCTTTAAGTGTTACATGCCAATAGGCAGACAAAACAAATAAAGCTAATTGGTACATTTTTGCAATTTTTACTGTGATGAACCTCTGGTTTCATACTGGATCTGAGTTACAATTCTGACACTCCAGAGGTTGCAGCCTCAGGTCATTTCATTCCAGATGCAAGGAAAAAATTTTTTGGTTCATGTGTTTATTCCCCAGTCATGAACATATGTACATTTCTTTCAGAACTGACCATTCGAGCAGCACGATCAGTTCCTACAATAGCAGCCAACCGATGAACATCGTACTTGGAATACAGCACTGTTACAGTCATGTTGCTTTCATCACCAGTGTTTTGGTTTTGATTTGTGTCCTGAAAAAAAGGGAATATGTCAGACTTCAACTGTACAGTAATTACATCTGATGTGTGATGTCACAGAACAAATTACTTTTCATGAAGATGATATTTATATGAAAGAAAGAGTTGCACTTATAAACAAAATTAAAACCTAAATGTGAACACAGCGGTGTAAGCAATACTGAATCAGTATGAGACAGCGGTTTTTAAAATGGTGAGTACTATGAGTACAATTATGGTCTTCTGGGATGTGAAGTCATGTACCACTCTTAGACTTTTATTTTGGAGGTGATCAGTTCAAATCTTGTGAGCCATTTGTGGACTCCCATTTCTGGTTCGGGATCAGGGTTTCTGCCTTCCATGCTGTCCATCCATCTCTGATTCTAATTCCCTTCACCTTATATTTTGGTCATGTAATTTGGCATAACGTGTCTCCTCCAATCAGCATCCTGCTTCATACTTCCAGGTTTGGGTGGTTTTGGAAGAATGCAGAGTTGAAGTAGTCCCCTTTGCTGGTTAGAAGCCTTGCAAGTTAGACACGTCTAAACTGAATTTCCATATTCTAACCAGTGAGTTCTTCCAGTGTTTCAAGGTAGGCCTCACTTATGTACAGTGAAGTATTTCATGTTTTGTATTTCTTCATGGGCTAGGCCTTCATGGTTGTATCCAGCAGCCACACCACTGTGTTTTATTGTGTGTACCTTACGATACTGGTATGGTAAGAGTTAAGGCCTGGGTTTTTCCCACAATATACATTGTGTTTGTGTATCTGCCAAGCCATTTAACGCAGTGGCTGTGTGTGTCACAATTTTATTTAGTCGTTTCTTTTTTTTCTCTCTCTCTTTTGAAGCATGACTGTCGCGCAAAACAAGTTGTAACAAGATCCACACTTCATGCCAATCTGTGTTATGACTGGCAGATCAGGCTTGTTCTTTACGTGCAGATCCACATATTTCTTTTTGGAATTTTGTTAGATTCTGTCAAAGGCTGTATCAGCAGAATTAGTTGTATGCACTACATTACTGAACTGAAGCTTCAATTTTAACTCAAGAGTTGCCGCCTTCCACACATCCTGTAACATTTATTTTCATGTTGTCATTAAACTTGTAAGATCTTTATGCTGGCCTGTCTAATCCACCAGTGTTACACTGTACACCAATGCACTAGGCCTTCCTGCACTCATTAACTTGCATCTAGTACTGTATACACTGTTTCTCCAAATGCAAATTTTGCACACCATGTCTAAGCTCATGATCGGATTCAACCGTACTATCACGTCCCTCAGATTCACTCAACTCATGAACTCTATAGTTTTATTCAGGCTGGCAGCATGAGCTGCAAAGTTCAAGACCAGTGCAGAAGCCAAAAGAGTGTGTGCATGTGTGTGCAAGCAGAAAAGTCGAGAAGTTTTGAGAAGGAGCCATGCATTGCCATCATGTGACCCACCTCCTCCCTCCTGCATTTGATCCATGTGACAATACCAACACAACATTTGGTGATGACAGCAAGACAAACCTGCACACTATAGAATACAAACATCACAATGATGTCATTTTACAGAATGCTGGTACACCAAACATTAAATTAAGTACACATCTACTCTATAAACTGACGGGTTTTTTTCACTCAAGACGGAAAATCATGAATTAATGTAAGATACACACAAACTGTAACCTTTTGAAGCCATGTTGTACACAGATAGAGGTAACCCATCAGCTCCATCTATCATTATTGCCAGCTCCACAGACTGAGTAGGATGTGATAACAGTAACACTTTAAACAAGCGGGGTAACGTTCCCACCTCATGACTCAAGGTATGCAGGTTCAAACCTGGCAGAGGTCATGGAATTTTTAAAATTCAGGGAACATGTCCCCACCCCCTCTAATAATACGAACATGAAAAACACTTTAAACTCATGTCTGGAAGATGCTCTGTTCAAATCTCAGCTGGGATGATTTTCCTCAGTCTGCCAGGACAGTACCCAGATCCTTTCCAACTCATCATTCATCTATCATCCTATAATTCAACGCTATAGTCTAGCTACTGATAACATAATATAACCCCAACCCAACTGCTCCAGACTCATCTTGGGGTCCCTTACCCGAATCAAGTTGCACATCTCACTGTAAAAATGTGGAAATGTTGGTGGCTGGTAGAACAGAATGTGTAAGATTCCTTTGATGGAGGGACGTCTGAAGAAGTGAAATCTCTCACTATAAAGCAGGAAGTGGGCTTCAGCATGGAAGAACATATCTCTTGCCCTGGCTATCTTGCCCTCCTAAAAACATTAAGAACAAGTTAGTTTGCATTCCTAACTTTACAGTCATAACACTACTATATTATATATAAGGAACTGCCATCCAGAATTCTTACTGTGTTGCACATAATGGACAGTTTTATATATATTTGGTTTTACTGTGCTCACAGAAGATGCAGTTACTCTCTGTAACTGATAACAGATGGTTTCACATTTGTATAAATTTTTGTATATAAGTATTATGTTTTTGGACATTATCCATCATCTTGTCTATATTTAAAAACTGTCCTGTTTATTTTTCAAAACACAATGTTTCAAAGACTGGATTCTGTCTCCATCCTCGGGTAAAACCTACTCAGTTGGGCCCAACAGATAGAGCTAGTCCGGAGATAGGGACTAGCTCTATCTATTGTGCCCAACTGAGTAGGTTCTACCTAAGGACGGAGACAGAATCCAGTCTCCGAAACGTTTAACATATTGCATTACAGTATGGATTTTTAACATGTTTTGAACCTGATGATGACCACTTCAGATATGAACATTTCAGAATCTAAGTGACCAATTTTCTTCTACCAGTTATGTTCATATCAAATGCTGCAATGGAGGTTAAATGAACCTCACTCCAAAACTCTCTTCAAACTACCATGCATCCCCTTTCTAACAGTTCTGTGTCTCAATCACTTGGTTTCATGAACTGGGTTCCAAGCTGACAAAATTTTAATTCAGCTAGAACCTCACATTCATACAGGATGTCAAGGCACCTTACCAGCCTGAATATGAACAGTGTCCCTTCAAGTGACAGTTTACTTCTAATGGTCCTGTCACTTGCTAAGCCAGTAACTCCACACTTCTTTTAGTTTGGGGCCCCTGAAGAAAATCCTTCAACACTGTCCACGTGTGGACTGCCGGTGTTCCTGATGCTTTCTGTTCACCCAGTTCATGAATGTTTGGATCCTGTTTTTGCCAAGTAAGCAACAATTTCATTCCCTGCAATTCTCCCATATCCTGGTATCCATACCAATTGTACCGTCATATTCAGGCAGTGGCATCAGTAGTATTAAACCCTACCAAGTGGCAAATGTTCTTTAATATTTGAGATTTGGAGTTCTCACATCAGTATATATGAAAGTTACTCCTTTTTGGGATATGATACCACATGATGTGGTAGAAACATGCAGTCATTTAGAGCAGTGGTTCTCAAATTTTGTCAGTAAGTTCTGTTTTCTATAAGACAGGGGCATAGTACCAGGCCGTGAGCCGGCAGTTGAGACACTCTGCTTTACAGGAACCTGCTTCCTCCCCAGATCATACAGCATCATATCCCAGAAGACCATAATCTTCACATTCCAATACTTGTTTACGTTGTCACCTACCTTTGAATATTCGCATATTTGCACAAAGTTCAAGCCTTCTCTTCGGAAGTAATTTCTCAGCCGTACATAATCAAAGTATGAAGGAATGTAAATAAGAACATGACTCATAACTGTATTTTTATATTGCGGCAGGATCTTCTTAATGAAGAACTCAAACCTGTCATCTGCAATCTGCACTACTGATGGCACATCAAACCTGTGGAAAACCTAGCAGAAGGATAATATCAATTACACACAGAATGAAACTACATTACAGCAGAAAGATCTTCACTTTGTGTGATTTCTGGAACTCTGAAGGGTGGACAACCAAAAATCATTTTATGCATTAAACTGTACATGGCCTCCCAGCAATCACCAGAGAGACTGAACAGAAACATTTTGTAATACAGGTTACTGATTATTTATGTGTAGCTTATTTAACAATGCTGTCAGTAATTTGGACTCTCAGATATCAAATGATGTGGAAGTGGTCATGCACCAAATGAAGATACTATCCTAGCATCTACTTGGAAGGGATACAACAAGGAACCAGTCATGAGAGTTGGCGTCCCAGCCAAGATTCAAACCAGGCATTACTGTTTGAAGCAACCTGCTTGATTTAACCTTAATACTGTTTTGAAATTACATGTATTTTTGTACAGTATGGATCTTCCTTTCCTTGAAGAGCAAACTGCAACTGTCCATTTGATCGTGCATCACTTTTTTATTTCAGGCTGTCCCAGCTTCTGCCTTTAATCTCGAGGGGGGATGGGCATGGTGTTAAGACAGCAGAGGTGAGGAGGTTACATAGCCCAGTATTTGTCAGGAAGTGAATGACTACTTGGGCAAAACAGGTAGTGGTTCAAGTGAAGGTGGGTTGGTGAAACATGGTGCCCAAAAGAGAACAAAATGAACTACTGCCTACTCACTATCCGAAATTTAATTTGATGCTTTTGATTTTGCATCACACATAATCTTGGAGTGAGGCTTTGCTTTATAACATCTGATAAACTTCCACAGTTAAAACTGACTGACGCACCAAAACATGGGACTGATTTCTCACAAGATTTAATCTGGAATGTGGGTGCACAAGAGGGATAAATTAAGTTTAATGGGTTTTGCATACGAAGGGTTCAGAAGTCAGCATGCTACTCTCTGAGGTCTTGTGTTGTCTGCATCACATTTCAAGGACCATACATCTGCGAATCTCCCAATACAAATATATGTCTTCAAACTGTTCCTCCAGTAAGCAATCTGTATTTTCATTAGAGAATAAATGGGGCACTCAAGGGTTCACAAAGTTTAAATCACTATCTCCAAACTCTTAATCTCTAAATTATGCATTAAACATGTGAAATTAAAAACATTGCTGTCTCGTGTACAGAAATGTGGGCATAACTCAATGGTTCCTCGTGAAGACCAGAGTTTCTCAGTTCCCCTGAATTAATTTGAGGGGAACAAGAAAGAGTCCTTTGTGGTTTGGAACTTGCCACATATCTGTCATCACAGTATGTTAACTATTGTGCATTTGAAACTTTCCTTTGAGGGAAGAACAAAGCTGCACCCTCCTGGTCAGAAGGCTTCTGTAGTCCTGTCTCCCTCAGGAGTGCCTTGTCAAGCTTCGAACCAGGCTGAGCTTGTTGTTTTGTTTCATTTTGGTCAGGATAATTAACATGGTTACCTACAGATAACATTTCTTTGGTCTATATAATTGGTAGTTTTCTTTCAAAATGATTTATTTTATTATTTCTTTTCATGGAAACTTGTGACACAACTCATTTGTACTGCCCATAGCAATTCTGTATATGTATGAGTATTGCAGTCTTACCTGTGGCAGCTGGACCACCACATGGCATATGGTGCCTGTCAGCTCAGGGTTTGCTACACAAATTTTTCCAGCATAATTGTGACATTTTTTGCTCATAAGAGCATTCAACTCTGGAAGTATCACAGAAGAGAACAGAAGAGTCTGTCTGTAATATCGACTCCAACCATTCAAAGCCCATGAGCGGACACGGGAAAAGTTGATGCCATGGGCTTCTCGAGGTTGCAGATGGAAGTGATCCAGTATGTGAAGTAAGTGATCCCAATTCTGGAATATAATTTATTATTTCATCATCAAGGAACAGAGATTCTGAAAGTCCTGGAACTATGGAACTGGTAGCCATACCTTAATTTAGCAGGTAATAGTTAATCATTATGACATAGGGGCAATATGAAAGGAAACCCCTACATAAGCAAACCTAATGCTGAGGTATAGCAATCAGGTGGTGGTTACACAAATGACAGGAAACCTTGTTTCATCCTCTAGTGCAGTGGGTCTCAACCTTTGTGAGACCGTGGTTTGATAAATTCTTAATTTTAATTTCGTGCATCCTGCCGTGTTACAATATATACAACCTCTTTATTTGACCGTCACAACACAGCAAATATAGAATTCTATATCTGCTGTGTTGTGACGATCAAATAAAGAGGTTGTATATGGTAAATTCTTTTTTATAGGACGAGGGCCCGGTATAATTGATGCCAGGGTCTGGTATGTGCCCTGGCCCAGTGGTTGAGAACAACTGCTCTAATGGTCAAGTTTCTCTCCGAAGAGCTCTCATGCCCCCAAATTAGATTTTACAGCATATCAAAACCAATCAGTGTTATTCCTTTATGGTTCACATCGTAACTATTCGGATTTTGCCATAGTATTCCTCACATGTTGGTCAAAATTCAAATTTCCTGCACACCTATATGCATTTCTCTGATCTTAACCACTGAAGAAGCTATTCATGGCATGATTTAATATGAGACTCCATGCCAGAGATGCATGGAGGATCTACTCTCTGATGCCACCTTCAGCTTACCAGAACAATAAGAGCTCATGAGAGGTAACATTTGAGGGAAACTGAAAGCTGCTGCTTCATGCTACCTGCATGAGAAATATGTCCGCTTGATCTAGTACAAGTAATTCTACTGATGCAAGGAAGTCAAAATCTCGACCTTCTTCACCCTCAGCACCCACAATAACCCGCAGTCCAAGTGGTGAGGCTACAATTATATCAGCAGAGTAGAAATCAGCATACAACTAAAACACAAATGAAGACACGTTTATTATTTCTAGGACTGGCACTAGAGCCAGACTTTCTTAACCTTTTAAACTAAGAGCATTTAAACACTCACTTCATACTTGGTTGGAATTTGAAGTGGCTGTCTTTGATTCTAACTGCACTAGATCAGAAAAAAAAATATATTGCCACTATTTATGAATCTCAATAAAATGTCTGATCATTTCTGGTTGAATTCCATGAATTCATTTGCGCAAGAGGAATGCTGCTGTAATTAAAAATAGACGTAAGTATGGCAAAGTGATGCATTTAACAATATGAAAACAAAAACAGAAATGTGACTGTGTTCTCCTTTGGTAACTGCCCAAGCTACGCAAGCAGCTCCGCCCCATCTTCCACATCAAACCATCTAAAGCCATTCAGAGCATGCAACAGCTGTACTAAAGATTTTTTAAAATGATACCCAGCAATGTTTCCAGACTAGTAAAGTATAGCAGAACCCCCACTTAATATTAATCAGTTTAAGGTTCTCCCTTACTGAACATTCAGTTTCAATGACCCCAAGTCAATGACCTCAGTGCCAAATTACTTCCATTTAATATTTTCTTCAGTTTAGTGTTCAAGTCCACAGCTTCCCAGAGAAACCTTAAATGGGGATTTCACTATAATTTGTGACAGCAGTCACTAAACTTCAGTGACAATATATATAATCAGCCCAGCTACAGAGAAAATCCCAGTTTAAGGTTTCTGGAAAGCAACAGACTGAAACACTAATGTGAGGAAAATCTTAAACAGGGAAAACTTAACACAGATTACTGATTTGGAATCACTAAAACTGAATGCTAAACCTTCAACTGAGAAACATTATATGAGGGTTCCACTGAGGTTTACTTTCAGGAAAGAATCCACTGTATTTGTCAAACCCCATATGGTATTGGTGGGCACAGACTTAAGGGGGGATAACTTCCAGCCATCCCAAGCACTAAGATCATGTCTGGGACCACTGTGCATCTAGTTAGGGCTACTCTAAGGCCGTGCCATAGCTCAAACGGTTAGTCGCTGGCTTCCCACTGCAGTGGCCCGGGTTAGATCCCGGGTCTGGTCAAGTGGGATTTGTGGTGGACAAAGTGGCGCTGGGGCGGGTTTTCTCCGAGTACTTCGGTTTCCCCTGCCAATCTTCATTCCACCAAATTCTCCATCATCATAATCACCCAGGGTAGGCTACAATAGGCCAATCAGTGGCCACTGTGCCAAGTGGATCCAGTTGGATTCCACCCTCCACTAAGCAAATTTTAATTAGGGCTACTCTAAGAGCCCTGGTCATAATGCTTCAACCAGAACCCTTTTGATTAAGGCCCTCCTTATATCAGCTATAACCATGCAGAACCAGAGCTGGGCACTAGACTAACAAACTATGTGGCAGGAGGATTCTTCTTTTGGCTCTCCACCTGACACTTTGCAAGAGACCCATGAGATATACATTCCACTTCAATGTGCAGTGGCCAATCAGGAACCCTGTCACCAGCCAACATTGTTTCCTGTGCAAGGCTAATAGGCCACTAGACAGTTCATACGAATGCCCTTTGATGAAGAGCTTCAACCCCATATGGTAGAACGGTGCCTACAGTATCAACAGACTTTCTATTTAGTAACCAAATTTCAGTGCCATCTTCAACAAAGAATCTATTCATCAAACAGTTCAAGTTAACCATTACACTTCTCTGCTACTGAGCAGTTATCACACAGTGGAAATGTGTCTCACTCCATAACATTTATATGGAAGTCCTGTTATGCAACTAACCCTGATGCTTTTTTTAGTGACTGTAATTCCAATTCGGAAAGTGTCATCAGTATTGCCTACAAAAGTTTCTTCATAGTCTTCAGGACGAGGCTTTTTCTTTGGCATTGCAATTTCATTTCCGGTGAATTCATCAAAAAACCTTCTTTTATTCATAACATTGGCCTTTTCATCTGGTAGAATGATCTCCATCATCATTTTCACCACTCTGTAACACAAAAAAGCAAACCCAGTTCTTGAATTCTGTATTGTATGAGCTCCAAAATTCTAAACCATAAGGGCTTCAACTATCAGACCCACCTGATCTGTTTTGGATATTACAGAACAGAATCTTTCTGGCACTCTAAAAATCTTCCAATAGATCTGCTTGCTGTGGGTTTACATTTTATTAAGTTCCAAATTATAACCATAAGAGCCCAAGTAGGACGGCATGCTGGTGATGCTCTAGAATCATACTTGGGAACTACTCAGTTGAAATGTTCGCCAGGAAACCATCTTCCCTACTAAGGCTTTTCTTGGTTTTCTTCCATCACACCAGGCAAATGCCATGATAGTACCATGATTAAGTGACGACCATTTCCTTTCAAATCCTTTCCAATTCATCCATCATCCTACCACTCAACACTGTCAGTCTAGCTACTGAAAGCATTGTAAAATAACCCATGCATAAAACAAGAACATTCACAAAGTATTTATTGTAACAGATCTGATCAACGTGTTCCCGGGCAACAGCTCTGTAAACACAGTCCACTGCTAGGTTACGGAACAATGGAGGTGGCTGTATTTCCCATGCCTGCAGTGCCGTCACAACAGGAGATAGTGATCATGTGACATGTGTTTACTATTGGTCAGTGTCTGTCCCTCGGCTATATAAGTGAGCAGAATTCCTAAGCTGGGATAGATAATAGTGGCGGAAGCATGTGAACAGAGCGGATTTGAACCAGGACTACAGAAGAGTACAGGAGATCAGCCTGTGAGGATTTAAGTGTGATTTGAGGTGATAGTTTCTGTGTTGAGATCCGTTGCTAGGAGAACAGAGAATCCTAGTGCATGTGTAACAGTGAACTGTAAATTGTGGAAACAGCGATAGCGCTGTGTTAAGTGTGATTAAGAGAACTTGTAACAAAAGTGCCAATAAATCCAAACATCCAAACTAGAACCTATCATTTTTGTCATGCATACCACCCTACACGTGACATTATAAATAATATGATTTTCCCAACGTATTTCTGCCAGTGTTGGCCATCATAATAGGCCTTGCATATATCACTAGAAAGCTACAGAGGTCTATAGCATGTTATTTATATTTCTTAGCTAAAAACAAGTTTAAAATGTATAGATGTATAAATGGTTGGAATGTGAACTATATTCATTTGGACCGAAGAGAGATGAAGTGATGGGAGGTTTGAGAAAAATGCATAATGAGGAGCTTCATAACTTGTATTCATCTTCAAGTATAATTAGAATGATGAAGTCAAGGAGGATGAGGTGGGCAGGTCGTGTAGCACGAATGGGGGAGACAAGGAATGCATATAAGATATTGGTGAGAAAGCCAGGGAAAGAGACCACAGGGAAGACCAGGGTGTAGGTGGGCGGACAATATTAGAAAGGATCTTAGAGAGAGAGAGAGAGGATGGGATGGTATTGATTGGATAGATCTGGCTCAGGATAGGGACCAGTGGAGGGCTCTTGTGAACACGGTAATGAACCTTCGGGTTCCATAAAATGCTGGGAAATTCTTGAGTAGCTGCTGAATTGGTGGCTCCTCAAGAAGGGCTCAGCTCCATGAGTAAGTAAGTATATAGCATATTCATATATTCTGATAAGAGTTTGGGATACCCATGAAACTAGTTAAACTGATTAAAATGTGTTTATAAACGAAACTTATAGTAAAGTCCATATAGGCAAACATTTGTTCAACAAATTTCCTATCCAGAATGGTCTAAGACAAGGAGATGCTTTATCAGCACTCCTTTTAAACTTTGCTTTAGAATATGGCATTAGGAAGATCCAGGAAAACCAGGTGGGAGTGAAATTAAATGGGACACATCAGCTGTTGGTCTACGCCGATGATGTGAATCTACTGGGTGATAATATAGATACCATAAAGAAAAACACACAAACTTCAATCGATGGAAGTAAGGAGGTTGGTCTAGAAATAAACATAGAGAAAACTGAGTATATGTTGCTGTCTTGTCACCAAAATGCAGGGCAAAATCATGACATAATGATAGAAAACAGATGTTTTGAAAATGTGGCACAGTTCAGATATTTGGGAACACCGATAACAAATCAAAACCTGATTCAGGAGGAAATTAAGAGGAGATTGAACTTGGGTAATGCTTGCTACCATTCAGTCCAGAACTTCTGTCTTCTCAACTGCTGTCCAAAAACATAAAAATTAGAATATACAAAACTATAATTTTGCCTGTGGTTCTGTATGGGTGTGAAACTTGGTCTCTGACATTAAGGGAGGAACATAGACTGAGGGTGTTGAGCAGAATATATGGACCAAAGAGGGATGAAGTGATAGGAGGTTGGAGAAAACTGCATGACAAGGAGCTTCATAACTTATACTTGTCCCCAAGTATAATTAGAATCATCAAGTCAAGGAGGATCAGGTGCACAGGGCATGCAGCATGAATGGAGAAAATAGAAACGCGAGACCACTGGGAAGACCAAGGCATAGGTGGGTGGACAATATTAAAATGGATCTTAGAGGGAAAGGATGGGATGGTGTGGATTGGATTGGTCTGGCTTGGGATAGGGACCAGTGGAGGGCCCTTGTGAACACGGTAATGAACCCTCGGGTTCCATAAAATGCTGGGAAATTCTTGAGTGGCTTCTCAAGAAGGGCTCAGCTCCATAAGTAAGTAAGAATAGCACATTCATCTTTATTATTACATTCTTGTATATTCAGATTCTTATACATCATAAATAGCACAGACCTGATTACAAGATACAATGGTATGGATTGCAAATTTAAGATTATGATACTTATCTGTAGTTCATAAGTTCACAAACCAAATAATTATTACAGGAGCTATACCAAAATGGCAGATTGCCAGTTCTTCAAATATCTCCTATAAATCGAGCAAGTTGGCTCAAACAGTAAGGCTTCTGACTGGTATTCAGGAGGTGTCCAGTTTGAATCTTGGATAGAACATCAGCTGTCTTCATTGAGGTTTTTCATGGCATTCCTCCACCCCTCCAGGGAAATGCCAGGATAATACACCAAATTAGACCATGACCTCTTCCATATCCTGGCCAATTCATTATTTGCCTTGTTATCATGTCACTGATTCTGCATAGTCTAAGCTTCCGATAGCATTACCAAATAAACCATAAATAAAAAACACTACCTATAAACATACAAATTCACAGCTGCCTGGTCAGATCAAAGAGAAATGTGTAACACTCCAAATTTCTCCCTGGCTTTAGGATTAATAATTTAGCCATATGCACTTTGGTGTATCTAAATTTATCAGATCTATGTGTGGCTTAGACTTTTTCACCACACAGCTTGGTGAAGTCCCAGACGATAGTACTATTCATAGCCACAGAAGTGAGAACCTTAAATCTATCTTACAGAAGTAATTTTCCATTTAATTACAATATAGCCATATTTTTGACACAAGTTTGTATCACTTCCTAAATTACATTACAACAATGTAAGAAATCTTTGCATTTGCTGTTTCCATATATTGTCTTTTTGGGTACATATGTATCAATGAGTAACCAAAGAAACTTCAAAGCTTTACTGTCCTGTTGTCTGTGAAATGAGTGCTGCCAACCATAGAGGTTCATTTATAAGAACAAACCATAAAGCAAACTTCTATGGCTGGGAGCATTAACATTGCAGACAACATAACACAAAAGGTTTTACACTTCCTTGGGGCACCCATTTGTACATAAAGTACCTCTTTGGGTTATACATATTTCCTATCTTTATTCTTCACTGTGTTTATTGTTTCTCATTTTAGAGTGATGTGTACATACATGTGCTATAGCATTTTTAAAATAAAATGATGATTCATCCATTTCTTAACACACAGGTTATCTATACTGTCTTTAGACAGTTCTTGAATGCCTCTGAGAAGTAAAGTATGACATTTTTCCACTATGGCAATAACAATTCTAAGCAAAAGCCATATGCAACTTTACATACCTTAATGCAGCTTCTCTGAATGGAACTAGAATGATAACTTTTGGACGGACCAACCCTTGGTCTCTGTATTCTTCTGGAACTTCATACTTATTCAGCAATTTGTTGTTATGATGAAGGATCTTAGTTCGTGTTTTCAAAATATGATTAATTGAATGAAGACAATATGTAAATCTTATCTCCTCTCCATTTTTCAGAGTTCTTTCTGGATAGTACAAATCCTGATAATTGTTTATAATAGAAAATAGTTCCTTTTGAAGGGGAGTAAGAGGATCCATATTTTCGGTGTGGATCTCATGTAGATTTGTAAAATTTGCTTTGGTGATATTATTTTGAATTTGTGATTTGACATGTAATTGGGTAAAACAGACACTAGTGATTCTCTGTGGAACTGTTCCTGTTTTTGCAAACTTCCTTTTCTCTTCAATAGTTACTTTTGGAATTGACACAAGAGTTTTAGTTTTTGCCTTTGGTATGTGAACAGTAAATTGACCAAGAATTGGCCAATGCTGTTGATGTTTATCTACAGTTTTAGGTAATGTGGATACAGCCTCAAGCAAATTCTCTTCTAAATCATAGTTAAAATGCCGTACAAAGGGGTCAAGATCATCGTCAATTTCTTCTTCATCGCCTTCTGCAGATTCATGTTCACTGTCGGCCTCTTCGAGTAGGCGTTCCTTCTCGTAACGTTTAAACGTTCGTGACGATGCTATATTAATGCAATGACTGACCTTCTTAACATTATCCATTGCCATATTTCTAATGAAAGCGTTTCAGAGACGGGACTCTGCCTCAGTCCTCACGAAACAAGCTCACTCCGTTGAGCCACATCGGTGCAGCTAGTTCAAATCGCAGGACACCATAACCAACACAAGACAGAATATACTAAATTCAATAATAAGACACGGTCTATCAACCTTTAAAGTCATAGATAAGAAAAATATAAATATAAACACTGATTAAACAAAAACAGGGGACTAAAAGTCAAGCAGACATATTTATCCAAAATCAACACCACCTAATAAACAAATACACGTACACGAGTACTTATTGCGTTACGTGTCTGTAGCAGTCTATAGTGTACCAACATAAGAACGGAACATTCCCGTATAACCTGTACGGAGTTATATTTTTCTAACGTCCACTTCAATGACGGATGTCCAGGTGGGACAGATATCTAATCTGAGTTGGTCGGATGTACTACAAGAGACATGTGAGCTGATTTCCTATCTTTCCTCTAAATGGCGCAAGATTTTTCTCGTCCCCACGTCTTCCAGACAGGTTCTGCAGTCCACCCATTTTACTATCCAATAGGCCCCGCAGGCTCTTTTACCGGAGGTAAAGCGGCCGGGTCTTGAAGCTGACCAGTCACCTCCAACTAGCGCCGAGATTAAGAATACGTGGATCTATACATCCACGCCCCCACACGTCTTCATGGTGTAATACTTAATTAGCCAAGCACAGGGACAACTGATGTAGGTTCAATTTACAAAAACCTTTGCTTTTTCCAGCAGACCTTGCCTCGTATTGTATTGTACTTCTAATCCTTCTAATGGTCTGTAAGATCTAAGGTTCTTACAGTGGTGGCTATGAAGAGTTCTGTCCTTTGAGTTATAATGCCATGTGGTCCCGCTTGCTATCTGCTTCACATTGGTTTCTTGCTTGGCTTCTTCTTAGACTCTGAAGATGGTAGGGACATTCTCCTCCGAAACGTCACTTGACTTCAAGAGGACCACACAGACTTATATCTAAGAAGACAGAACTTTTCTAAAGATCTAACAGTTTCGTCTACATCTACCAGAATCGCATGAGATACTGTACATATACTGCCTGCTGGGCATTTCTAACAGGTCGTTTTCATTAAAATCCAACGGAATGTGTGTTTAGTTCTGAATATTGTTCTGACAGATGGTTCCCAATGCGTTAGAAATTGTTGGAAATGCCCCAAACATATGTGATAATGACCGTGGCATGACATGGTCTATCTGAAAACGATTACTTAAATCCTTCCAATCCTGACATATGACTTTGACTTTGTTGACAAAATTATGTATGATTCCTTTTTCTTGCATAATGGTGTTGCAAGACTTGAAATGTATGACTTGGCTTCATGTATACTCTCATGGATAAATTAGGATCCTACTTCTTGCAGGTTGATGTGGCCAAACTTCACAGGTGTTGACGTATCTCAGCTATTTAGTTGGTTTGTGGTCTGCTGCATCCAATACTATTTCCTCGAAGTGTTCCATGAATATATTACTGGCCACCATAGTGACCTTCATGTTCCAGAGCATTCTAAGAAAGAAACATCCATTTTATTTTATTTTATTTTATTATGTGGACTACAGCATATGATTTTAGCGCATATTAATGCAGAGTTTTGAGGTACAATTAAAACAATTTTTATATTTGCATTCTTTTTATTCATTACAGGAATATTTCTGTTATAAATCTTTTTAAGATGTGAGTAGCTGTCTTCCTTTACAATTAAAAGAAGACAAGATTGTCAGTCTGTGTTCTAGTTTTAGTCACTTATTTTAGATATATACAATCTTTATATCACTGTATACAAGTCTTTATTTCAATTTATTATACTATTAATGTATGTTATACAAAACTTATTAGTGACATTGTGTTTTAACTATTGAATTTTTAATTAATGGACTTGCATAAAACTGTACAAATTGTATAAGGTTTGCCATTACTTTTACTACTAAAATTAACTTATTTATTATATTGTGTATGTTTATCAGTAGTGTATTACACATGTGTATGCTATTGGATGACAACTGTAATTCTTAGTTGTGACTGTAACTAGGATGATCTCCACCTCCGCATGAGAATGTATTCTCGACAGGATTTATGGAAGGTGAATAAATGAAATGAAATGGGTATTTGTTTATTTGCTGTCAGATTATTCGTATTCTGGAAATTGTCTGCATGAATTGTAATAATCTGTATTTTTGGGTGTATTTTTTATATTTATCTTTATCTTATCTGTGATTTGAGAGGTCGACAGACTATATCCTATCATTGGATTGTATATGTCCTACCTTGTATTGGTTCTGGTATCCGGAAATTGGGATCAACGGAGTGGGCTTTTTACGTCAGGACGGAGGCAGAGTCCAATATCCGAAACATTGTTTTAAATAAAAATCAGGACGATGGATGGTGTAAAAAGAGTCGATCATTGTGTTACTGCTTGTGTTTCGCCTTTTCAACCAAACCGAATTGTTCCATCTGTTTCCTGTTCTTCAGAAGTTGTGTCAGTTTTAGTTGATTTCCTTCGGCTCTCGAGATGATCTCGCCGAAAGATTTTAGGAACTGCTTAAATATATTTTCTCCTCCTGTGACCCATCTTCATCGTTACCTTCAGTACACACGTTCGTTCCTGTTTTTCGGATTTCTTCACACACCCTTCTTAGAATTTTTTCTTTCTGAATAGTCTCTAGGATACGGATCTCCGTACTTTATTAAACGAGATGCGTCCGGCGCCTAGAATAATTTAGAATGGTCGTACTTTCTACTGTTCTTAGAGTTCTTGTAATTTGTATTTGAAGTAGTCCGCTTGAATTTCCCACGTACCGTGCAGATGCGACACTTCCTCGATGCGTGCGCTAAATTTCACTTGTTCCTCAACAGCTGTAAAATACTTCCGATTCCGCTTCTGCGTGCACATGTGAAACAAGACTTGCACGGTTTGCAGCCCCCTCCCAAATCAGTGGTATATGAAAATGGCGGTGCAAGATGGAGGGGGGAAGGATGAGTTAAAAACACAGTTTATTACAAGAGAAGGGACGTACAGGCTAATGACGCTCTCAGAATATTCAAGGCCCAATAGGGTCGGGTATACCAACACTCAAGGCAGTGCCGCTGTTCGTGTGTCGTTTGTAACATTACCAGATCCAAGCGGCAATGGGGATAGAATTTGTTTCAATTTCGGTAGGGAGTTATATGTTTACGTATACAAAGGTGTTAAAAAGGCAAGTACACTTGCGTATTAGTTCTGAGTATTTGTTTACTTGAAGTAATAATGTTTGTGATTATTTACAATTTACACATTGCATATAGTATTATTTTACTTGTACTGAAACAAACCTAACCTAAATTTGCTTGCAGGCAGCAGATCTAACCAAACCAGTAGACAAAAAAATGTATAAGGGTACGAATCCAACTTGCCATGACTTCAATGTTGTTACAATGACGCCGGATAGCGTGTCCCTAGTTGTCGGTTTTTCAACAGGACAGATCCAGCTTATTGATCCTATAAAAAAGGAGCTTAGTAAACTGTACAATGAAGAGGTAATTGCAGTGTTACTGTGTAGTTGTAGTATATTTTAATTTCAAAATAATAATCCAGTAACTCAGTAACACAATTTAAAATATGCAGCCTTGCTTTTCTGAGTTTTACTTTATAAATTTTGTTTGAATTTGTCTCCACCTAAGATTAGATATTAGTGCAGTTCAGGTGTATGATGAGCATGTGACATAAATTAACCGTATAGTAAACTGACATTTTGGTTCATAAATAGGAGAGAGAAGTTAATTATAATGATTAGGATGATTTATGTTCTGTAAATTAACAAAAACTGATTGTAATCATGTGGAAGTTTTTTGGCACATAAAGTTTCCCTTGAATGTAGCTTGATGAGGTATGTAAATCGTATTCTGCTCTTTCATCTTCTGTTTTTGTTTGCCAGAGATTAATTGACAAGACGAAAGTAACGTGCATCCGGTGGGTGCCTGGATCAACAAACCTGTTTCTGGTTTCACATAGCAGCGGCCAGCTGTACCTGTATAATGAAGAGTTGCCTTGTGGCACAGCTCCACCCCATTACCAGCCTTTCAAACAAGGTGATGGGTATGCAATCCATACATGCAAGACCAAAAGCACACGGAATCCTCTCTACCGATGGGTCATTGGATCAGAAGGCTGTTGTATCAATGAATTTGCTTTCTCTCCATGTGGTACATGTCTTGCTGTGGTTTCTCAGGACGGTTTCTTGCGGGTGTTCCATTATGATACCATGGAACTGTTAGGATCAGCGAGGAGCTATTTTGGAGGATTTCTGTGTGTCTGCTGGTCACCTGATGGACGTTATGTTGTTGTGGGGGGTGAGGATGATCTTGTTACTGTGTGGAGTTTCCATGAAAGGAGGGTTGTTGCAAGAGGACAAGGTCATCGTAGCTGGGTTAGTGTGGTTGCGTTTGATCCCTACACCACATCTTACAGTGAACAAGATGGCACAGTGGACTTCAGTGGGGGATCAGATGATGAAACAACCCAACAGAATCATACGCCAAATTGTACGTTGTCCAGTGGGAGTAGTGAACGAAGTTCAGTGACTAGGAATTCGGGGAATCAGGCTTCAAACAGGAACTCTTCTGGCTCAGACTTTAATCGTATGAATGCGGCAACGTGCTACCGTCTAGGTTCTGTAGGTCAAGACACACAACTTTGTCTGTGGGACATTACAGAAGATGTCTTACGTCAGCCAATGTGCAGTAAATTGAGGACTAGTGGTGTTGGTGGGTCTGGAACGTTTGGTGTAAATGGATTAGCAGCAGGTGGTGCATACCACTTAAACTCTATGGGGGGCTGTGTGCCCAGATGCAACAATGTGTCCACAACACTACAGACCAATGCTGTGGCAAGTAAGGACAAGGAATGTCTTGCAGATGGAAATGCAACTCATTTCCATGGCATGAACATGCACAATAATTCATCAGCCCCATCCCTTACACAGAGACTTGCTGGACTTGGTTTTGGTGATAGAAAAGATGGAAGTGGTACTCACAAGCGGAATTTTAGCCTTGCATCGCGAGGCGGAAGCACTGGAGGTGATAAAAATAATTCATCATATCGAGGGAGTGGAACTTCAAATCGTACCTCAGCAGATGACCCCATGAGACTCATTGGAACCGGTGCCTGTCCGAGGTTTGATGAGTGTCCCGTCCTTGAGCCTCTGATCTGTAAGAAGATTGCTCACGAACGGCTCACAGCTCTCATTTTTCGAGAAGATTGCTTTGTCACAGCGTGTCAGGATGGTTATGTCTACACGTGGGCAAGGCCAGGAAAAATGGTGAGTGTATCAACTGATATGCATTGTGAAGTCTATATTAGGAAAGTAAGTATATGACCTCTGCAAATCAATATGCCTACATCATGGTGTTTTCATTGCAGAATACTGGAGAGAAGTAATTCCCCTACCTCCTGTTGTAACATGCAAACAGTCTGTCAGTGAACAAAACGATTACAAATAAGATTCTATCTGAAGGTCACTGTACTTTGATGCTCTGAACATAACAGATTCTGCTGTAGGTTTGTTGGAGAAACCATAATGATGTAATGAATCTTAAGTTTATGCTCTTCTGGGATGTGACATCATGCTGTTAGATACAAGACTACATGATGTCACATCCCAGAAGAGCATAATCTTAATACTGTTCTCTGTGAGAACCTCAAATCTTGTACAATGATATATCAGTTGCGGTTGGGAAGGTAGTAATATATGAAATTTGAGAATTTCACTCTGGTAAGATTAATGTAATGGTCTTTTGGATTATGACACCTGTACGCTGATGGGAACATGCTGCTTCCTTTCTCAAAAATGTTGATGCCTACTGACCAGTACATAACCAGTGTCATAATGCAGATGTCATGAATATGAGAAATCATATTCACACCAACACACCTTGTGGTATTGAGCATTTCACATTGATGACTGACGTGAGTTCCAACAGAGCAGAAACGTGTTTGTGTGTGTGTGGCAAACACAGCCTCAGAAATTTAAAAAAGCGATGAATTTTGTGCTTTGGACTTTATGACCATCTATGCCAGGCAGTGTACACACATTGCAACTCTCTTCATGAGTAGGGTCATTTTCTCTATACATTTCTGTTTGATATTTCCTCCATACAGACTAACGTGTGAGAGCCTACATAAAGTTGTGGGAAGTATCCATATGTGATAAAAGATGAAGAATGTTAAAGCTGTCCCTATAGCAGAATGTGGAGGCCTGTAGTGTTATGAGACATTGAGGCTTCCACATTCTCTAGACAGTCAGCTCACAGATGCTGGTGAAGTTGTCAGCCTTATGCACCAGCCACTCTTTACCCCATGGAAGATTCCTGGTACTTATTTTTGTTAGAGTCTGAGTTGACCCCAGGGCCATAGTGCGGCTGGAAGTATTAGGTCAATTGAAAAATCCACTGACCTCATCAGGAATTGAACCTACAGCCTTACAGCTTGTAACATAGTGCCTCAACCAGCTATGCTACCATGTGCCCCCTTTCTGAAAGATCAACAAAAGTTATATTAATCTGCTCATTTCTTCATTCACTCTCTGTTCATACTTCGTGTATTCTCAAAAACTTTCAGGCTAAGTTCACTGCTGTGTTTCTTATATCCTGACATGTTTCCAAGCTGTATGCTAGGTTTTGCATGTAGTTCTTATGTTTCTCGGAAGATGGCAGCAACATATAGAACATGCTTTCACACAGAAAAGAAAAGCTTTACAGGTATAATAATAGCATATGCAGTAGGAAACAAAAAAAATACTAAATTTAATTTAAGTTCTCACAGAAGGGGTTTTAAGAAGGAAAATTCAGATGTTTATTAATAGATGTCTGAGATATATGTTAAGAATCTGGTGGCCTAGAACCATTTCAAATAGAGAGGTCTGGCAGTTACCTGGTCAAACAGATATAAATATGGAGATAAGGAAACAAAAATTTAGATGGATTGGCCACAAGGTGAGGAAGGATGATGAACAGCCATCAGAGGTTATGCTTCAGTGGAATCCTCAAGAAAATAGTGGAAAGGGCAGACCAAGAAACAGATGGTGGAAATCCACTCTGAGAGAAGCTGTATGTAGTTGGACTGAGCTGCTGTTACTACAGAAGGGGTTAATGCAGTAAAACCTTGCCAATCCAGCCTCCATTAAACTGGATACCACATAATGTGGTGACGTCAGAAGTCAGTTGCACATGGTTGCACTTGCCCAGTTCCCTGCTGACATGTGTACAGTGATGATCTCTTGCACTGTCACTGTGCTCTTCAAGTGTTTTAAGTATGAATGATGGTGTCAAATAGAAATGGAATGAAACTGAAATATGTCACTTTTGGTATTGTGGATAATGTGATCGTTATTTGCAAGTTAGATTCTGGTTTCAATAATACCATATTCCTTTGATTATAAGATGCCCTTAAATTTAAGACATCCAGTTTTTGAATGCTGGTTTTAGGAAATAAATTAGAAAGACGCACCTTCCTCGAATTTAAGATGCACCTTAATTTTTTAACAGGAAAATGTGTAAAATGTGTCTCTTACATTTGATGTAATAGTGTATATCATGATATTAGCATTTTTTTATTACCACTTCCCTAATCCAGATGAGTGTGTAATCAGGGCTGTTCTTCCGCCCACCCTATAGTCTGTATTAGTGAAATTTTATTATGTGATCTGAATAGTCTGTCATTATGTCAGGAACCCTGTTAGAGGCTGATAAGGATAATGGTCTAGAAGTGAATGCAATGACAAATAACAAGGTTGCATAATTGTGACACATCAAATTTTCTTTAAACTGTGTCAAGTTAAGGAAATCATAGTGAACTGAGTGCAAGTTGTATGAACCCATACAAAGAAACGCACAAGGAAACAGAAGAAAATGCTGTGTGCGCTGTTTATGAGTGCTGCTGTTCAGTGCACAGCGTAAGTCCCCTTGCTGTAGCGGTAAGAAGACAAATCAGTAGTAACTAGAAAGTGGCAGGTTCACATCCAGGCTGTGATGTTTTTCAATATCTATTTTCTTTTTTGTGTTATTCTCCTTGTCTGTATATTATTATTTTAGTATGAATTTGAGAGTGTGTAGGTACAGTGGCAGATGTGAATGGATTAAATTGAAAAAGAGCCTTTCAGTAGACATATTGAGTTTAGGGAGGCCAAAATTTATGTACTTTTTGATTGATAAAACATGTTCAAAAAATTTGGAAGACTATTGAAATTTGAGGTTCTTACAGAAGTGAATGTTGAGATTAAGAACTTCTGAGTTTGATTCCATTTTGTTTGGTAAATAAGTACCATTGTTTTGAATGAACCTGCTCCTTCTTCTCTGAAGATAGAAGCAGTAGATTCTTCAGAAGCATTGGTACCTCTCTGCTTGTTGTATCCCATAAGACCATTTTAAATGGGATAATTTTGTTTGAGTTCCATTTAAACAGTATTATGGTTGACATGTGGACCACAATTTCACCTGGCAGGCCATAGTGTAAATATGTATGTAGTATAAAGTTTTGTTAAAGTCTTTTGGGTAATTTTTGGGGGTGAAACTTTCAGATATTTTACTGTTGCAAGTATTTACAGAAACATTTCCAGAGCTTCTTCTTATTGACATGTTGATTCAACTGTGTCCTTTTAGGGTCTTGCTTCTCACATCCCATCAAGCCCAACTACAGTAACTGCAGCAGCAGTTGGGGGCGGCATCGGTCCCAGCGGCACGGTGGTATAGCCACCCTCTCCCAGCCCTCGTTGTGCTGGGCTCTTTTTTAACGTCTCCCTCCTTTTCTCAGTAAGTTACTGTGTAGTGAGTTGTGGGATTGTCATGGCATCCCTTGTTGCCTGTTTACTTTCTGAAACTAATGTGAAAGTCTGAGGATGTTGAAACTGAAGAAAGACTGGATTTGAAAATTCTGAATTCCAGAAGTCGTAATTTCAGACGTGGGTCTATATAACCGCTGCATATGAAACAGCATGGCTTCCTGCCACAGTTGTCAGTTCTCTGTTTCACTGTGTATCATTTCAATCAAACAGATTTTTCACATCAGTTTTATATTGTGAATTGGTCCAAAGTCCATGTTGCCATTTGATCCAGTATTTTATTATTATGTAACTCTTAGGCAAATAAGAGTGAGAGTGAATGTTCTTCTGTCATTAAAAGGATACAGACTGCCTTGTTCAGAATTGTTCCTACCAATGCTGACCTGGATGTGACCTACAACATTAATTTTGAGTGATCCAATCCAAGGTGATCTTTATTTACTTTCAGTTGTTTTGATTTAGAAAATCCAGTTGGTTATATGGCTTCATGAACAGTTTATAGAGACAATAAACACATGTGAAGATCATGCATGTGTGATGCCTTCTCTAATGGTTTTTAATTTTTGCATGGATACTTTAATTTTGTTGCTGCTGGGATCACAGTAGTGAACCAACAGCATGTGGAGTTATTTACAGTTTTAATTTGCATGGTCTTAGCCACATTTTGCAAACATCAGGCATATAGATGACCAAAGTTTTAGCTTTGACTTCTTTCACATTAGGGACTAATGTTGGGATTGCCAGGTAGTGAGCCACATTCTGTTCATATTGGATACTTGTGCTTGTTCAAATCACATATGTAGTATATGGATAAGATAAGGTTATTTGACTATTGTGTGATACAGTGCAGAAGGTCATTTGCTTGGAAATTGTCCATCATCTTACATTTTAATATAAGAAGACCCTAATGTTTTACAACCAGATGCAGAGGATATGAAGAGATTCCTACTTGTTGTGGCTGTTTATACAGCTACTCTCAAACTCTGTTCCAGGACCTGGAGTAGCTCTCCTTACTCTCTCCCTCTGATGTCAGAAATAGAACCTATTTCCATTATAAACTAAGCTCATAGAGTGCAATCAAAGAGCCTTGGACTATGTACGATGTTTGTTTAGATTATTATGGGGACAGAGAAGTGACAGACGTGTGCAGACATGTTAGTAATGATTTGCTTTCATTGGGTTTTTTTTATTTTGTAATGATGGGAGCCTTTGGGGTCCACTATTTTTATTCATTTCCCTCATTTGAAGAGCCTAAAACTATTACATCTTACAACATCTTTATTACAACCGTCACAACACAAGAAATATCAAGATCAATGCCTAGTTTTGGCTCTGCTACATGTTTCGGCAGAGCCGAAACTAGGCACTGATCTTGATATTGTGTTATGACGGTTGTAATAAAGAGGTTGTATATTGTAGCACAACAGAATGCATGAAATGAAAACTATTACATCTTAATTGATTTTTGTGTTTGTGTCTTCAGATAATTGTTTATCTGAATCACCATCTAACATTGATTCTTGTGCTGTATCATGTTCTGTAGTCTCCTCTTTGAAGCCATGTCTTGCACTCGGAAGGAAACAAACAATCATACAATCTCCATGAATGTAACTGTTGCCTGCAGATAAAAGGTAAAGCTATCCCTGTAAGAGGCTTTGGAGGCCCATAGGATTGTGAGATGTCAAGGTTTCCATATATTCTAGACAGTTGGCTCACAGATGGTGGTGAGATTTTCAGCTTTATGCACCAGCCACCCTTTACCCCAAGAAGATTCCTGGTGCTCATTTCTGTTAGAGGCTAGGTTAACCCACAGCAAAGGCAAATCACCTGCGCCATGCAAGAAGCCAATAAGTATTGCTTCCTGTGTATTGAGTGTGACTGAAGAGCGTCACTGAGTGGAGGGTGGGTAGAAATATATTGAATTGAATTTATTTACATTCTATAAATCCTAAGCAGGTTAGTACCTTTGGATACAGAACAAGTCAAAATGTTACATACATAAGTACAGGCAATTTTAGCTTAAAAATTAATATAACTTAATTTTACATCATTCTCTATTTACATTGAAGTATTCATCTAAAGAGTAGAAGGAATGAGCATGTAGATAATTCTTTAATTCTGATTTAAACTTTTTAGTATCATTGCCCAAGTTTTTAATACTTTGTGGCAGATTGTTGAACACTTTTATGCCAGTAAAGTAGACTCCTTTTTGATATACTGATAAAGTTGATGAGGGTAGGTGGAAGTTATATTTTTGTCTAGTATTCATGTTATAGACATCAGAATTTAATTTGAATTTATCTTTGTTGTAAACAACAAATAGGAGAAGCGATAATATGTATTGCGATTGAAGCGGTAGAATTTTTAATTTCTTAAATAATTCTCTACATGAATCTCTACTTCTACATCCTGTAATGATTCTTATTATATTCTAACATATAAACATATAATACACAAAACTTGCGTAAAAATTCATAAAATTAAAAAGTGATGGAAGCAAAAAATATTTATACAGTTGTCTTTACCAGTACCTGTTTATGGTTATTGATCACAAAATGAAAACAGTAGCAGTGTATAATATTTCTTTTGTGGTTTACTGTCAATTTAGGGAATTTAGAAGTAGATCTCTTTTGACTGTGCTATTTTAAAAGTGCAGCTGGCATGTAGTAAGTATCAGTTCTTTCTTCTAAGACTAGCGAACAAAGAGAGACCTCATCAAGGAAATGCTTAAGCAGTATGAACCACAGCAGAATACACCTCTGACCTCTCTCTATCCTACAGATGTTCCCTACACAGTAATTGGTATGACACATTAGGCATAATATTATCAGAGTTACACTTAATCAGTTTCATTTTCATTGCTGAGTATATGGCAGTCCATGGAAGTGCCCCCAGTTTACACACCAGTGACAGACAAATGTTATTCCTTTGATAAGAATTTTTGTTATCTTACAAGCACATGTCGCAAGGAACGGCAGACAATATTGAAGTTGGAGCTAGATGTTTTTGAAAGGGTTTGGAAGGGCCAATGTTGTTGCCTTGATGAAAGTATTCTTTAATACAGCTGTTTGCAAAAAACGTGGATTCTCATAAACTGGCAGGTGATTCTTCCTTAATAATAATAATAATAATAATAATATATGTATGATGAAATGGTGTGGCTGCTAGGTTAGTACAGTTATCAGTTAGACATGCAGTAATTATACTTAGTAGATACCCCTGAAACTAATAGTACAAAAAAAATTGATGTATGAAAATATTGGTCACTGGAAATGATTACAGAATAGAAAAGTGACTGCAAAAGTTGGAAATTGAGTAGTAAGTTTGCATGTCCTGATTCTTTTGTGGGTTAGTTTACAGGACACTGAGTATGTAGAATGTATGTATGAGTGATGAATTGGAAAGGGTTTGGAAGGAAGTGGTTGTGGCTTAATCAAGGTACTGTCCTGGCATTTGCCAGGAGGAACTGAGGGAAAACCTCAAAAGAATCTCAGTCATGATAGCTGATCTCATAGCTGAGATTTTAACAGGCTCCTCCTAGATACAACTGGGCAAGTGGTAGCATAATTGGTTGAGGCACTATGCTGTGAGCCATAAGGCTTGATTCCCGATGAGGTCTTCAGATTTTTCAGTTGACCTAATCCTTCCAGCTACACTATGGCCCTGGGGTCAACTCAGCATGTAACAGAAATGAGTACAAGGAATCTTTCCAGGGGTGAAGGGCTGCCAGTCTGTGAGGCTGACAACCTCACTACCATCTGTGAGCTGATTGTCTAGAAAATGTGGAAGCCTCAACATCTCACAACAATGGCCTCTATGGCCTGTTACAGGGGTAGGTTTACCTTTGCCTCCTAGATAGAACTCAAGTACTAACCTACATGCTCACCTTCGCACAGTATTGCATCAGCTGTAATGGTTTGTTTCTTGAGAAATGGAGAATATTTCTGTAATCTTGAGAGTGAAGAATAAAAATGGTTCATTCACATACAGAAGCCTTCATAGAACAAGTATTGTGGATACACATAACTTGTAGAAGCAGGTTGGAGAGAAAGACTGAGACACAGGCAGAGGAAGTACAGAAGTCCTGAACCGCTATAAAATCTAAGGAGCACAGCATATCTTGAAAAACTACCACTTGTTTAGCTGTTTAGGAAATTACCCACATTTTATAGAACTCGAATGTTCATGCCAATGTTTCAGAGAACCTGCTGCCTCAAACACCCGAGGATGGGTACAGTATACTCCAGAATGTTGGTACCTATCTACAAAATTGTGCATTGTCACATCCAAGAAGACAGTAATCCCTCTATAAAGCCAGTGTTATTTGTTGAGTTTCTCATTGTATTCCTTAAACTGCTAACAAATTTAGAGTGGCCATGAGAACTGCTTTCTCCTGTTTCTTGTTAATTCCGCTAATCTCTTTGGAAAGTTTTATTATGAGAAAGAAATTAATATATTTGTAGTATAATATGATTTTATTTCTGATGACAGGACAGAGGAAGAGCAAGAATTCTCAGGAGAATGCTAAACCCATATTGGAGCCCTTGTTTGGTTCTTCTTTGGTTCTTCTGTCATAACTTTTAACTGATGTGTGATCACATCATCATCTATGCCGTAATTTTTATCATTGTTTTTAAAACGAAAAATTTATAGCTCATTTATTGTAAGATAATGTAACTGTTCCTACAAGAGTCTACAGAAACTGCTCTTTGTATAATGATGTCTCTCAGTTCAAGGTGTGTCTGTTAATTAGATTGGCTTCTGCTCCTAATGTAACCTGCAAGGGTATTGACATCCTCAGTGAGGAGTGTGTGTTACTTGCTCTCATGTGTCATTCATGATGACAGTTTTTTCTGTAAATCGTTTTAGAGTCCTCGCTCTTTGGGCCTTTATCATGTGTTCTGATACTATTCTGATGTTATCTGTTCTTGCTGTATTTGTATTCACCCATGGCTTCTCAACTTTTGTTACCTTTCTTAGTATTTCTCTTAATGCATGCCAGTAATTGGTATCCCTTTTCTTGTCAGACACTGTAATGAATGAATTAGCATCACCATTTTATTAAGTCTCCTATCTAATGTGTACCAGGAGCTGTTTCTGTTGTGGTAAAATGGCTGGAGCATCACATTCATCTTGTGCTCAGGTTAAGGTTGCATAGGGCTCTGCTTCCCATTTCTGCATGCGTGTTCATGTGATGTTTAATTGAACTGTTGGTCAACTTTACTTTTACAGTATTATCACTACCATCATCTACAGATTCAGTTTCTGAAAGGTAATGGTTTGAAAAGAATTGGATGGTTGAGTGTCCAAAATGTTGACAGAAAACATTACAGTAGTGAGTGTGCTTTTGAGACTTCATAATATTGATATTGCTTTCATGTGAGTATGTTGGGTACTGGATGTGATTCTTGCCTGGCAATCTCAGAGGGTAAATATTCTGATTTCACATTTTTCAGTACATCATGATTAGCCTGTGTTTTAATTACTTGTGAGATGTTTTGTGACCAAAGAAACCATAGAAAAATTGGTGTCTTATACTGTTTTGTAGACCTACAATGAAATATGGTGCATTCCATTGATGATATTGTTGCAGTCATCGTTTTTATATAAAACACAAGGCAGCATGATTACAGAATCCAGCCTTGATAACCCAATTTTTCCACATATAATAATATGTCAAAGATAGTGGTCAATATGTATCATAATAATTACATAGGTAGTACATGTTCATTAGGGATCCACTGAATATTCTTATTGAAGTAAGGTTCTGTTATTAATTTATTTATGTTCCAAAATGGTCATGTCACATAACGAGGGGAAGTCCTAACCAAAAGAATGCCCATTGCTAACAGTATATCTTTATTTTATTGTTTTGGCAGCTTGTTAACAGGAGGTATGCCATGCTGCTTGCTTTAATTTTTAAAAGTTGTGGCATGTGTCCTGTAAAATTGTATTTGAGGTAACACCATTCTTTTTGACAGTCTGTATGTCTTAATTAATTTAAAGGCTTTACCAAATTTTCAGGTGTTTATATATTATTTCAGTAAAACCACAGACCACCTGACACAATTTATCAGATTCACATTAAGTACTTAATCAAATGACATGTTTCAGCTGAAATTTCACAGTCTTCAGGGGTGTTTAACCTAGAAAGTAAGCCATTAAAATTATTAGTGGTATATCAAAATGTTACTTTACATTCAAAGGTGTTTGGTTAAAATGCTTTTTATGAAATTGTATACGTAAATATGAAACTAGTATAATAATATATATAACATAAAGATATGAGCAATATCAAAATAATATAAATCAGTATGGTAGACTAATGGCTTGATAATTAGTAATATTCAGCTGTGTTCCAAGTGTAATAACCATCCCATATATGAAGACAGCTGTGCCAAGTCATAACTTTACTGTATAGATTTATGTGAAACATTTTAATTATCAGTCTTTTTTATTGTATTTTAAGATTATGATGCACAGCTTATAACTTACTAAGTTGACAGTCCTGAAGATGGAAAAATTGTAGCTGAAACATGCCAGGTGATTAAGTATTTTATTACTGTGTTTGACAAGATGAATCAGATGGTTTTATTGAATTCAAAATGAGAACTGGGTAGAGCAGTAGTAATGATATGTGTAAGGTTTGTCAGCTGTTACTTTAAATTTTTATTGCATTTTGAAATATAAAAAGAGTGTTCATGCCTCATTATGGACACTGTGTTGAATTACCACAAACTTCTGTTAACGCTGATGTGTTGTGAACACTATATGCTGTGGATAACTGAACAGAGTTCAACAGATAAGTTGTGTATTACAGTTTGGTACATTTCTTAGAACTTCACTCATTACATGAATTGGAGTAATCTGGCTGTAAGTTTTAGAACCAAATTTAGTACAGGTTATTATTTTTACATCCATTGTAGGAGTTGGGATAGCAGTGGGCTACAGGCTGGACGGTCTGGATTTGATTGCTGTTAGGGCAAGATTTTTCTTTTCTTCACAGCATCCATACCAGCTCTGTGGCACACCCAGCCTCCTATCCAATGGGTACTGGGGGCTCATTCTCTGAGGGGGGTAAAGCAGCCAGGCCATGAAGCTGTGCTGAGGTCAAGAATGGTGGAGCTATATATCCACTCTCCTATATGTCTTCATGGTGTGGTGCTTAATTAATTAAGTGCAGGGGCAACTTTTTACCCATCCACCCATATACTGTTTTTCATCATATTATTGTTAAGCCATATACTTACACATATTAGAATCATGGACTGCGTACAGATTTCAGTTCAGAGAACCTATAGCAAATGACACAATGGGCTTTTTCTGTAGATACATATCCTCTTGCAGCAGATGCAGATCAAAATGTGCACCCAGAGAGTTTCTACATGATGTCAGATATGTTCAAATTCAGTGAAAAATAATTATTTTAAAATGAAAAGGAAAGAAAATATGCCAGAAAATTAAACTATGTTCATGCTTCAGGTTTGTTTTGGTATAACTCCAGTTACTTTAATAAAAATTTCATGAAACTGATTGGCTGTCATGAGGCCCCATCAAGCAAAGTGCTGCAGTTTCTTAATTCAAAGTACAAGACAGGTATACACATTAATATTCAGAAGAGGATGCACAACGGATTTGAGATGGTCACCTTTTAATCTGTCTAGTTTCGTACTTTGATACAGTGATCATCATCTGTAGATTGTGCTTTGCTCATTTGTTTGAGTAGAGACAAGTACAACATGCATCACATTCTGTTTGTTTTCTGATGCAAGTACAGTGTGTGTGTGTGTATCCAGTGGAAAATGAAATAATGATTTGTCTCCGTCTTGTTTTGTATTTAGTTACATTTTGTACTGTGGGATGGGAATGGATCATTTTGTGATGGAATTATATTTCAAGTGATTTGTTAAAATCTACTAAATGTAATTGGAGAGAACTTAACATTTCATTTTGTTTGTTAGGGCTACTTACCATGTTTTGTAACTAAATATCACATTATTGTATTCTGAAGTTTCTCTTCCCCATGTAACAAAGACGCCGATGTGTTGGACTCATTAATGTCAATTCTAAAGCATTCGTACAATGGGATGTTACACTTAAGATTACAGGGCTTCTGGCCTGTGTCCGTTATCATAGCATACAAAACAGAACACAACATTTTGGAAACTGGATCTGTTTCCATCCTCAGGTGAAAAGGTGGGGGACACCTATCAGGGAGATCCTTCAGAAGGACCTGCACTCAATCACTGTACATCTCACTGGTCCAGTGACAGATTGGTTCTTTCTAATGGACCGAGTTGATTACATGCCTCCCCATATACTGGATGCTGTTATACTAAACATGACCTATCTGGACTCTGTTCAGAAAATGAGCAGATATGAATATGGTTACAGTCCTGTGGTATAAGTGAAATGGTAAGTGTACATTCACAACAATCACCTTTCTTTCAGTTAGCTGCAAACTGCCCAGCATGCAGTGCAAAAGACCTGAGGTTACTGTTTTCTGGAATGTGATGCCAGATAATTGGGTAGATAAGCAGCAACATTTTGTAGGGACCTGTTACCTGCATCTTCAGGGAAGAAGAAGTGGTCACCTGTCTTAAAGATGGAAGTACCAGGCCCCTCCAAAAGATTGGTACTTATCCACCAACTACACAGTGTCATTGTAATCTTAATTCTTTTGTTACAGTTTATTTTTCATTAAGGGAGGCCCTAATTTTGATGATTAATGTGAAAATTCCTTAACAAAAATTGGTATTCCACTTGTTAAACTGCCAAAGGAAGTGTCTGGTTTAGGTCCCCAACTTGACTGAAAGCATTTTTTAATTTCATTCAGCCCCTGCAATTTTCATTTGATACTGCAGAACATCAGTAGTTGAAAGGATGTTGCAAAATGATGCAAGAAAACTCTCCTGGTTCAGATTAACCATTCATTTTATTTGATGGTCCACGCATGTTAAACCATATCATGTATGTCCTTTGTGACTGAAGGACTCGGACTCTGCTATAAACAATTTTCTTAAAGATAACACAACACCTTCAGTAGGTGCTGTGTTCAGTGCTATAGAGACATTCTCTTTATTTTAGTAATTCCTTATTCAGATTCCAGAGCTACGTGCAACCTTCATTAATATTTTTTTAGCGCACTGACTAAATGTGCCTATCTGTAAGACGACAGAATGCAGACTGTAAAACATGATGTATGATAGTAATTGCATTCAGGTAGCAATTTTATTCACTCTCTTTTGGGTGGGGGGACGTCTCGTTGGTTTAAACCAAATGTTGTCTGTGTTCTTTATTTCACATATCACATATTCTTGCTGCATGACATAATCTTAGATTAATTATTTTCAGGTAAGGCACAAGCATCAAACAAAATACAAGTATCCCCTGACTTAAGTGAATTCTGCTTTAATTCAGTTTTGTATGAATTTATTTTAATTTGCTTTTTTTTTTTTTAATGAAGATGATAAAAATGATTAAATTATTTTTAAGAATGCAGTCTCCTGGATGGTACAGCTAAGCTTGCCACCTGCTTGTGCTGGTTCCTTGCTTGGGTTAGTCTCTAACCTTGAAGGTGGAGGTGATGTGTTCCTCTGAAACATTGGCCTATTGCGGGATGGACGTTGTCTAGGCCGTTTTTGTATTTACAGTTATTTCTCACAATAAAATATTGGCATGTCTCCAGATTATGTAGTAATACAAACCAGAGAAATGTTCTCTTCACATTCACCACAGCGAGAACCTTAAATCCAACAGTGAAATTATTTGTTAACTGCTAAAAAATGGTATTAAATTAATTAAATTACTTATATCTCATTAATGATTAAAGGCAAAACACTAGGAGCCAGAATATCAAGCAAAATACCTTGGGTGAGCAATTTGCTAATTTTTATTAACAAAAGGACAGTTGATACATCTACATATAAATAATAGAAAATTCTTGTCAAGCCAGGGGAAACTCAACATGCCATTCCTCAGAATATGGAGAAGAAACATGATAGGATTTACAAATAAAAGGAAAATGGAATAGGAGATCGAAGGATTAGAATGGCGAAGAAATGGAAGAATGGGGTTGAGGGTAATGTTGTAACATGAAGGAGAGAGAAGTAAGAAGTGGGAAAGAGATAACAAAGAAAATGAGTTAGGATGCAAGAAAGCAACGAGGGATGAAAGAGGAGGGGATGAAGATAAGTTATAAGGAAACAGGAAAAAATAAGTTATTTTCCCTGTCTTTGATGGGCCATGCACTAGCAGTATTAAGATAGGAATGAAATTGGAATTTCCTAGAATTTGTGCCGGATTGGAAGGGAATAACAGGAATTTTGAGTTACATGACTGCTCTTGGGAATGCAGCTATCACATAAGTCATGAGATACCTCTGTTGTAGTGTATCATAGGTTTTTAAACTACTTTATTTTGTGATACAGAAATAATGTTGGAGATGTGCTGACAGACATGTTATCTTTTGATATGGGAGAGGTTAGTAGTCTAGTATGATGTGGCATCACATGTTGTGCTCTGTTAGGTTATGACTCTCTCTTATAGCCTTGTAGGTAGATACCAATGCTCTGGAGGAACATAATGCCTCCATCTTCAGGGATGAAGAATGTTGGTAGTTATCTGCCAGATTACACCATGGTGTCACAACCTAATTGTCACCTCCAGGAAAATATCAAACTTTACATATGGTGCGATTGTTTGTTTTCATACCAAACTGAATTAACACATCAGTGCAAAATATTTTAATTGTGTGCAGACAGAAGAACATATTGTGATTTTAATGCTGTAAATAACAGACGTTTATTATTAATACAGACATGTGTTAATGACTGCTATTAGTTTTCATTGGTCTTTATCAGTATAGTTGAGGTCCATGTAGTTGAAGTTATGGAAAGTAAAAATAATATTGGACTTCAATGGTCAGTTATCTGTGATGTAGACTATATGGGTTGGTTTTACCACTTCATGTGGAAACAATTCTGAAACAAATGTACAGTAGTAATATATCGTATAGTATTTATTGCAACTGTTGTTTCAAGTGTCAGAGACTCCCTCTCTTTCACCAGTTGCCTTTTGCTTTCAGTTCATACTTTTGTAATTGGATCATTCAGCATGGCATGAATATTTCTTCATTGTTTTATATTTTGAAGCAAAGCTTCTGTAGCTAGAAAGTGTTGAGTGATTCAGAGAAAGATTGTTGTTGTCATTTGGTTTATGACAACATTCGGCATGGCAGGTGGTTAACACGTTTCAGAAGAACCTGCTGTGTCTGTCTTTGGGATGAAGATGGAGACAGAATGTTCTTCTGAAAAGCTGGTATGCAGTTTCATAACCCAGAACAACGCAGTCCTAATATTTGCCAATGTGAAAGCCTGAAATCTCACGTTGGTCTGAGTAACTGAATGTACACAGATGTAATTTCCTAAAATTTGAGAAATACCAAAAATGGGGAGGGGGTTAGCTTTGTGCTATATAACAAGCAATGACCAAGCATGCATGTGCTTGCCTACAGCCACTAACTGAAAGATTATTTGGCCGTTGGCCTATAGTAATGCATAAACGCATTACTTGTAACATCTCAAACAAAGCCATCTTCACCATGCTCTCTGTTAGGCGCTCATGTGCAAGATCAGCAGCCGGTGCATCCTGTGGCTTTTATGGCAAACTGCCAGCAGGCTCATTTATCTGTGCCCCACTACATAACTTATATTCATGCAGTGTGTTCATGATCAGAAATTAACTGCTTAGAGAGATATTTATGATTTTGAATAATGGTTGTAGCGTATATACTTCAGTGAGTATAGTTTTGATGTCAGATTTATTTTAAAGCTGACTTGTATAATGCAACATATCATCTGTAAGAAGCTAATTTTGCATACAGCCTCAGCCCTGTGGATACGTGTACAGAACAGGGGAAGAAAGCATAGCCCCCCTCATTGCAGATGCTGACAAGTTGCTCTGTAACAGAAGTCTCAGTCTCCCTTTCATTCCTAGTTGGACGAACCTGATCTTGTAGTCAAGCGTGTACCACTTATGTTTCATATTTATAGGATTCCAAGTTCAGATCTCAGCTTTGAGACCACCTATCCTGATGTTTTTGGTGGTGTTCCTGACCTTCTAGCCAAAAGACTCAAATTAGGCCACAACCACTTCCTTCTGCATTCTGTGCAATTCATTGTTCAGTAGTGGTCCTGTCATTTGATGCTTTATAGGTATGAGCTACTCGCAGCATCATTAAATAAAACATAAATAAGAAGACCCTACTTGGATGCAGTGAGTAAAAGAAACATAATTTGTGTCCCTCGGTTGTATATTTGTATTGTATTTATTTATTTCATTCTTTTCTCCTACTTTCTTTCCCTGCTTCCTTGGTGAGTTGGAGCATTCCTCTATATATGCGCACTAGCTTCTTCATTGGAGAGATCAGTAAAAGCGAAGACAAAACGATTGTAAAGCAAGTACAAGTACTTATTGAACAGAGTGATCCAGTTGAGTGGTGCTTGCTAATTATTTTTATCATGATGTTCATCATGTAGCATTCATAATGTTGAGCCACATGTTGGCCTGTTCCAAGCTCTTTGCAGTAGTCTGTTCAAAATTATTCCTCAGTTCTTTGATCCATGTGGTTTATAATGTTTCAGAAGTGTCAACATGTTGAATTCGGTTGGTGTTATATTTTTAAAGTTGGCACAGTATGGGTTCTGTTTTTAATTCTGTTAAGGTCTTAATTTCGTTTGTGGTCTATCCAAGCACAGTTCACCATTTATTTTACAAATTTAATCTCAGCAGCTGTAATCCTGGACATGACTTTTGCTTGCTGATTATCCCAAATTGCATGATGTACATACTTATGTACATACATAAGTATATACACAAACATGCATGTTGTTCCTTGCTCATTTCCATCCAGTTGCTAGTTCTGTCATGTAATGTCTCTGATTAGTTCCCATAAAATTTTATTATTTATGTTCTCCGATACTGACATGCCATTTTGTAGTTAAAGTGCATAAAATGTAACGCAGAACATCCAGCGTTTGCTCCCAGAGGATATGTGAGAGATGTGACTGAATACTGGGTCACTGTGGTTCCTAAAATATTGCATCAGTATTAACACACAGTTCTAAGGACAGAATTCTTGCATCCACATGTGGAAAGTGTATGTTCTTCCTCCAAAATTTATTTAATCCTTACCAGTATAGGTGATGCTAGATATTCTCAGTGGTTGTTATAATATTACTAAATAACATCATATATTTCACATGTAAATGAACTGCTGAAGTAACTGGCCACAGGCATCTGTTAAAGAGAGGCTGTAAGTCCTATCTTTGTGACACTGAGTTTAGAAGATCTAGGTGCCTTTTTAAGCAACCGTAAATTCTACAGGTATGAAATTTGGCAGACGTGTAGTTGAGGATTCTCTGTATCTGCTGAACTTCTTCTGCAATGATTTACTTTAAGTATATTTTTTGTCCCCCCCCCCAAGACCATATATTCAAGAAATGGTGTTTTAGGAGAGAAAAAAGGTTAGAATGTTTATTGCAAGCAAATCACTGTAAATAAGAGCTAACAGATACAGGGTTACTTAGAAAATGCATCTGGATTTGACAAAATTAACTTTGCAGTTGAGTGCCCACATCATATATGGAGCTCAAGATGAAGCCAGTGCCAAGGACTATCCACATCATATTTGTATTTTAAGTAGGCTTTAAATAGGATGTATTTCTTGTAGATTATGTTGATTGTACTGTTGCCAGTACCATGTATGATCAAATCAAAAGATGAGGGAACCATCATGGCTGACTAAACATTATAAGGCTAATGCTTATTTTCAATTGTGATAGTTTTCATCAAAAGGGCAAAAAATATATGCCTTGAGCTGAGAAGTTTGTTTTATACAAGTCATATGTAATCCTTTCACTTGATTATGTTTACTGATCATGACTCAGTGTATTATTGTTATTATGTTTGTAAAGATTTATTTGCAGTTGTTGATACAAAAATCAATAAAAGATTAAACATCTGTAATGTGTAACGTGTTGAGGCATTTGTTATATAATGATACAATGGAATTGTAAATGTAATAGAATGTGGAGATGATTGATTCATTTACTTGTTTGTATTTATGTAAATATACATGAACATATGAAAAATAATATAGCTATATATTGTATTTCTGCTTGAGCATGAAAATATGAGGATATGTAAAACTCATGGAATAAAATGTCTGAGGCAGAATGTAATTGTTGCAGTTTGTTTCACTGCATTGTTACATTATAAGGAGTAAGACAGGAACATGATGCTATGAGGTCAGAAGTGATTCAGAACCTGTAATGTCTGGGGAATAATGTGGGCTTCCAACTGATCTTTTCAAGAGTCTTATTAGTGGAGCTACCAAGATGTATTTTATAATAGATGAAACATCTCTGATCTCAAGCAAAAGTGTTTGGATGTGTATCTGTGATGTGCAATGGCGTCACTACCATATCCACTTATGATTTGTCTTTGCCTCATGCAAGTACAAAGCACCATTCCAGGTAGTATACAGTCACAACTCATGCAGTGCTTACCTAAGAACTGATTTAACAAGGAATATTTAAAAAAGGAATTTTATTGCTTTGTGCTTCAGTAGAGAAAGTACAGTAATCTATCTCTTTAACAGGCAGTGGAGCCCTATACGGCTGTGAGGTGTCAAGGCTCCACATTTTCTAGACATTCAGCTCACAGATGGTGATGAGGTTGTCAGCCTTATGCACCACTCGTCACCCTTTACCCCTCAGGAAGATTCCTGGTACTCGTTTCTGTTAAGAGGCTGAGTTGACCTCAGAGCTATAGTGCGGCTGGAAGGATCAGATCAATCAAAAAATCCAATGACCTCATCAGGAATCGAATCTGTAACCTTCTGGCTTGTAGCACAATGCCTCAACCAGCTACACTACTGCATGGCCCCCAGTACTGTAATATGCTTGGTCAAAAATGTAGTTTCCCCTAAACCTGAAGAATTTCCTGATTTGATCATTTTGAGCATTGTTGATATTGCAGGTTGCAACTTGTGCTTACTGACTGTCAGTAATGATTATTTTGTATTAAAAAGTAACTAAGAGCTTACTTAGCAGGATTGAATGATTATATGCAGTGATTATGCCATGTAGATCAGTTTGATAGAGAACCATCCATGGCACTGTTGTAAGACAAAAGTTTTTTGGCAAACCTTGAATTTGAGGGCCCAGAACACTTAACAGCACTGTACAGAAAGAACGTTATGGTAATCCTGCAAGGTGACACGAAGGACGCAGCTAACACAGCAGGTGAAATTAGCTGAATTTTACTGTTCCGTTTATTTTAAGAGGGAACCAAGATAACTCAGTTAGTATAGCAGCTGCCTACAGTTGGATGACCATGTATTAGTTTGAGTAGGTGATATTAAGCATCCAGACCAGCTCTGGGACCTACCCAGCATCCTATCCAATGGGCACAGAGGTTTAGAATTCATGGATCTGTGCCTTCAATCCCCCATATGCCTTAATGGCACAGTGCGTAGTCAATTAAGCACAGGAATAACATCTTAAGAATGAATTGTAAGATTGCCCTACTAAGAAGCCTGGAGTTCACAAGTTAAGTACAACCATAAGAGAACTGGGACGCAGATGTGATGGAACAACCAGATCCAGAGCAGAATTGAAAGCCTAGACTACAGGGATATAACAGACACAATTATTAAAAACAAGCAGAATTACTTGTTCCTTGTCTGGGATATAGTTTCCTTCTCTCCCTTTCTGTGTGTTATTTAAGGACGCTTTTTCAATGTCAAGGCTATATAGCATCAGATGGTGTAACAGATGAGTGATGAGCTGGAAAGGGTCTTGAAGGAAGGTCATGGCCTAATCAAGGTACAATCCTGCATTTGTCTGGAGGGATTCAGAAAAATCACAAAAAATCTCAGGATACCTGGTGTTCCAACCAAGATCCAACTGAGCACCTCCTGAATACAGGTCTAGAGTTTTACTTACAGACTAGGCTTTTGGTTACCTTTTGTCAATAATACAATGTATAGTGGCTAAAACTGAAAAGAATGGATAACACTCCAATTAAGATAATAAAACTCCAGACAAAAGTTCATGACTGGTGGGCATGTACTGTGTAGTTGTAGCCAGTAGCTTGGCATGTGTAGTTCTTGCCAGTAGTTTTGTACACTAGTTGTAGTGGGTACTGTAGTTCAGTAGTTGTAGTTATTGCTGTGGTATCCTGTAGTTAATTGTATGCAGTACTGCGTTATGTTTGGAGGTGGTACATGTATACTAGTGGCCCTTGAGACAGGGTTACATCCTGACATCAGAGAAATGGGATTTAGTGTAAGTCTGTCTGAGAACCTAGCTACCAGTGTACATCAGCAAAGCATAACCATTGACACACAAGTACTGGGACTGCTTGCTTCATTCCACATTATCCATGTTAAATGGTGCTGACCATGACCAAATACATGACAAGAACATCCAATCACCTGCTGTTCTCCAGCTTCATCAGAATGGAAGCAGACATTTCTGTGAAGCACTGGAAATTGATTACACACTGACATGGAGATTTGTCCAAGGAGGTTTTGTTTGTAGGAATTGAGATGGGTTGCAGGTGGGCTGGAAGTTGAACACATGAATCAGTTGTTGTCTTCTGCTCCATGCAGTCTTTCTGAACCAGTGTGGCAAGACATAGAATTGTTTGTCTATATGGAGAGTAACAGCAATTCAGTCTAGTGTCATCTCATGTATGGTGCTGTTTGTTAAAATGTTTCTGTCCGGATATGCCTATGCAGGTTACTTGTAACTTCCAAATTGTGTTCTTTCAAGATAGTCATTTATTATCATGAAGCAATGTATAATGAAAATCATTGCCAAGTGTTGAAGGTTAATATGAAAATAAGACTATGCAGAATTAAAAATAAAATTATTCATGTAGGAATTGTTGGGGCCAATGAATAAAGAAGGGCTGTGCTAGGAGTCACGTCATAAAGGAAACTGCAGAATTAGAGATATCTATCTGCATGAGATTGAATAAATTTTGTTATTTATGTTTTTGGTAGAGTATGTTTGCATAATTGAAAGATAATTTGTCAGTCTCAGTCTTTGTGGTTGGTGTCAGAGTGGTAATGACTGTGACATTGAAGGTAAGTGAGATGATATATGTAATTCTTATTTGTAGGTCAGTGTTTGCTGTAAGGATGCATCTAGTATTGTGTACCATTTGGATTGAAATAAAGGCTTAAAGCCCATGTCGAACCCTTCCTCCCAGTTTTCATACTGTGTATTTGGTAATAGTTTATGGATTTCGTTNTGCTGTTGGGATTTGGAAGACTATGGGATTGGCGTTTGATCTGCAAACTTTGAATCATAAATTGCATTCACAAATAAATATGGGGGAGGGGAAATTGCAAAATAAATGCCAATGATGGTGTCCATGGATGCGCTTTGCCACGGAATATTAATTTTGTATTAAGGCAGGTGGGTTTTGGGAAACTTTCCGTATCTGTGATGTAGGCTGAGTAAGGAAGGATTATAAGTAACACCTCAAATAGGTTTTGAACATGAAGTTAAGCTAAGGATTAGTGTGTGTTTTGCGGATTATTGGGGGACTAAAACTCCTGATCTTTTGGTTTAGGTGTATTGAGTACAGTAGAGATCCAAGGGTATGTTAAGTCACAGGAGAATACAAAGGGTATTTTGATAGGATAAATTGAAGGATATCTTGGAGATAGAAATAAAATATTAAGATGGATTTTTGGAGAAATGGAGCCCAGGGTACAGGAGTGATCTATTTTTATTGGGTTGAGACAGACCATTTGGTGCTTTGGCTTCTTGTGGTATATTGTACCAGTCTCAGATGGTGGCGATTCTACAACAGTTGGTGGAACTAAGACTGGCAGGGAAACCAAAATACTTGGAGAAAATCTGCCCCAGTGCCTCTCTGTGCCCACCACAAATCCCACATGAGACCCAGGAAACTAGTGCAGGAGTTTTGTAGTTCAGAATAAGGGACAGTGAGTTCACAGGTACCATGAAATTGTAATTTCTTCAGGCTCTGAGCAGCTGTTTGCAGGGAGTGAGCACAATGAGCTTTGTCCTCATTTATGCCATAAATGTAGAATTCAGTACATGGAGACAATGAATTTCATGGCCGTAAATGTACAGGTGGATGGCTGTAAGATGCAGTGGGGATTTCTCTGGAGCCAGGGACCATACAACAGTGCGTATAAGTTCAAATTAAAATTTCCGTTAGTATAATAAGGCCTATTAACACATTTTTGCCGAGAGAAAATTCAGGGTTTCGGTTGAAGGCGAAACGTTTACGCCAGGAGAAAAGGAGTGCCAAGCATTGTACAGCGTATGTATAAAAGAACCTCCTCCCCTCAAAAATACTACTGTATATATAGGTGTTTGTTGTTGGCACCTATGTGTATGCGACTGAGCAAAGAAGGGTATGTTCTCAGAACTTTGCAGCGAAGTCTGGATGCGATGGAGACACCGTGTCACCGCTGGAGCGGCGGCGAAGCTTATGATCGTTGAGGTGACTAAATTGCCTGTCTAGCGTGAGCTAATGAAAACAAAGCAGAATCTGTTGTGGACTTAACAGGGGGCTTATATATACAGCGTGTTTCATGACTTTAGGGCATAACTGCAGCAGGTGATTTCCTAGGTCTTTGTGGTCAAAAAATTTCATATAAACATGTGTCCGATTTTAGGCGGTTACGGAGTTAGACAGTTTTTTCTTTCCCGTAAACGCCCTCGTGTGAACCGCGTCTGTCAGCTGGCGGTTCGCTATTTTTAGCCAGCTACAGACAGAGCGTTCTCGTTATCTCGACACTTGAGACCTACCTAAGGCGGTGTGAATTGGTATGTCCGGCGCGGTTCACAACAGAGCAGCAGACTGTGTTGCGGCCGGCGGTAGCATTTTCGAAAATCAGCTTTAAGCACCAATAAATTCAAATTAAAGGTAATTTCACCAAGTTAACTTTACATTCATACTTTAAATGTATCATGTAATATGCTGGTTTATTATTTTGTTCCGTTTATTGTCAGTAATCGTTACCTTCTATCCTGAGTTTAAAACGGTCGTAATTCCGTAACCGTCCAAAATCGGATACATATTTATCTGAACTTTTTTGATCACAGAGACCTAGGAAATCTCCTCCTGCAGTTATGCCCGAAGTCGTGAAACACCATGTATATATATTGCCAAGAAAGCCATGTGCAGTATATATGTATAGTTGTAAAGGTCGTGACATGAAGTTAAGAGGAGGAAGGACGAAATATAGAAAGTAATTGACTGTGACAAGTGAGAAGGGTTAGACCCGTCTTGTTATCAGAAAGGACTCGTATTAGAGGCCAAACTCTGAAGCTTACTTCAAGACTAAGATCTGGTCATGAGCGTCTGATTGGGCTCTAAATTAAGACAAAGTGGCAGGTCAACCGTCAATGGGAAAATGGCTTTGAAACGAAGCAAGCAATAAAGAGGAATTTTGTAAAGGTAGAAACGAAGCGGTAGGATATGTGGAAGACGAAGGCGAATAGTTGTCATAACCATGGTGGGCCTTTGGTAAGGCACTGGAGTATGGTTTAGAAGTTACGTGGTTCGAAGAGATGGCTATTTTAGTGAAAAAAAAAAGAACGTAAGAAATTTATGCACGTAGGAAGCAAGTCGTGCTATATGAGGAAGGTGAGATTAACA